CCCCTCCCCGCACCTCGCCGTGCCCCCTCCCCGCACCTCGCCGTGCCCCGCCAGACCGCGGCCGCTGCCCGCGCCCGACTCCGTGCTGCTCGCCCGCCTGAACCCGCTCCGCCAGGTAAATCCGTTCCAGGTTTTCCAGCCGCCCGTCGCGGTCCAAGCTGTCGCATCGATCCCGCACTCGGGACTCCGCTCCGCGTTTCCGCGGCAGCCGCTCGTGAGCGAGTCTCGCGAGCCCAGGCCCTACCGTGGCCAATGAAAGCGCGTCCCTCGTTCCTCGCAGCCAATAGGGCGCCGCCGCCGCCCCCCCGTTGGGTTGCACTGCGTTGAGGGCTCCGAGCGGCGCCTCCATTTAAAGGGGCCGCGACCCGAATCCGGGTTCTGGGTAGAGCGGGCGGCGCAGCACCGGGAAAGCCAGGTACGAGCGGTGGCGGCCGCGGGCGTGCCCCGGCGGCGTCCGGGGAAGTGCGGATGGGGTCATGGGCCGGTCTTGGGGCTCCGCGAGGAGGGGGCGGGGCGGGCGCGTGCGGCGCGGATGCCGGGGGTGAGGGGGTGGGTGATCCCCGGAGGGGGGACGCCTTGCGGGAGGGGGCGTGGCCGATGCCCCTCTAGGGGGCGTGGCCGGTGCCACTCGCCCCTTCCCCGTGGCGGCCACTTGGGGGCGCCCTGCGGCGGGTCCCGGGGGGCTGGGGGTGGGCCCTATGCGACCCTCGCCCCTTATGGGGGATCTGGGGTATAGGGTCCCCGAGATGGATGGGGAGCCACAGCCTGACCCCCACCCCAGTGCAGCCCTTGTCTAATGGAGACCCCCGTGCGACTTGCGCTGCGGTGCGGAGGAGGCGGTGGTCTCTGCACCCCTCCCGATAAGGCTGCGGAAGGCACTTGCCTGGACCCCATCCCCGCCTCCGTTCCATGGAGATCCCCGTGCGGCCCTCGCGCTGGAGGGAGGTGGTCTCTGGAGTCACCCGAGATGGATGGGGAACCCCCATGTTATCCCCACCCCCGACCCGATGCAGAGCGTACCCCGTGCCCCCTGCAGTGGGGGGGGATCATGCCGCCCTTATGCCTTTCGGGAAGATAGGGGGTCTGGGCTCTGGGTCCCCCGGCTATGGTTAGGGAAATCCAGCAACCTGACCCTTATTCCCACCCTGCTTCCATGGACACCCCAGTGAGATCCTTGCCCCGGTTGCAGAGATGGTCTCTGGACCACCCTGCGATGGATGGGGAGCCCCAGCCTGGCCCCCATCCCTGGTGTGTGTTGGCACAGGGAGGCGCGGGGGACAGCCCTCGATGGGGGCAGTGGCTGGCTGTGCCCCACAGCCGTGCCAGAGCCCAGGCACAGGCTGGGCCCAGGCTTCATGGCTCCTGGGAGGAGGCCCTGGAGTGCTCAGCCCAGCGGGACCTGTCCTTGCTGAGGGGCTGTACTGAGCAGTGGTAGCAAACAGCCCTGGCACCCTCTGCCCCATGGCTCTGCCCTGGCACCCACCCAGGCTCGGCTCTCCTGTGCCCCCAGGGCTCAGCCTCTATGGTGGTGTCACCACACACAGGAGCAAAGTCTGTGGGGTTCAGCAGCTGCTGCACTGCGAACTGGACAACCTTTCTGACAGCCTTTCTCCTGTGGTGGGGGAGTCTGGACCCTCCCCAAGGCCTGGTGGGTGTGTGTATCCCTGGACACCATGTGCTGCTCTCGAGGACCTGGCCCCATGAGAGAAAGATGCAGCCCCATGGGGCTGAAGCTGCCTTGGGCTGCTGCGGGAGGCCCAGTCTGCTGAAGCCTCCCCATGTGGGCAGTGTAGCTGTGGCCAACAAGGTGCTCTGCATCAGGTACCTCCTGTGTGGTTTGTAGAGGTGGAGGCAGGCCTGGCAAGGCAGGGAACTGGCTGTGATGTGTGCCTGGCATGGGAAAAGGGCCTGGCCCCAGAGGCAGCACTGGACGTGGTCTGTGTCAGGTGATGGTGGGGGGTAGGATTTTCAACTGAGTGCTGAGGGATGGTTCCTGGAGTCTCTTTTGATGAGCATTAGAGCTGCTTCATTTGTGTTCTCCTCTTCTCCTGCTGTGCTTCCAGGTATGGCTTTTGTTTTAGGCTGTAACTTCTTTCCCTTTCATTGCAGCTGCAATCCCTAAGAAAACTTTTAATCTGCATTTTTTCACCTAACCCTGCCTAGCCTGGGATCAAAGCTGGTGATAAGAGCATAGCCCTGTTGTTATTGTGAGCTCAGCCTATGAAAGGAACATCCACAGCCTACAGCACTCTAATGACTAACCTGAGCCTCACAGGTCCATGGTGCATATTTGCACAACCTCTTTTTCTCTCTGCACCTGCTCACATCCCTCTCACTGTGAGTGCCCTTCCTTTGCAGGATGACAGGAACACCAGATTCTTCCACATCTCTGGCAGCCAGAGCGAGGGCCCAGGCTGAGCCCATGGCCTACTTCAGGGGCAAAGCCGCTTGTATGATCTTTATGGATGTCTTGTGGTCAGTGGTGGTGGGATGTACAACTCTGATGGACACAGATGTGCTGGCAGAAGCCTTAGTGCAGATGGGTTATCGTCAAAGCAATCCAATGGAAATATGTAATAGGCTACAGCTGTGACAATGCATTTGTAGGCTTAGCAAAGGTAGTGCTAAGAATTTGACTGGATTTGTGTTTTAATCTCAGGAGAGTGTTTTATTAACTTCTTCCTCTGCTGACGGTACACATCAGGAAATGGCAGTGTTTGAGACCATCCTCACCAGTCCTGCTGGCCATGGGCTCTGGTGCTGTCTCCTGGCCACTTGCTGTGAGCCTGCTCTGCTGGCCCAGCCCTGGGCAGCCCAAGGGGAGAGGAGGTGGTTTCTAGACAGGGTGAGATACTGCTCTGTTCAGCACAGACTTACCCAGGGCCAATTTGAACAGCTCCATGTGAGGGGAGGCTTCCCATTGCTGAGATCCCTTTCCAGTGCCTTGGTGGCAGGCACTTTGCAGAGGGGTCTGAGACTCCCAGTGAAGCAGAGGAGACAGCTCACGCTGTGTTTCCAGTGTTTGGCTCTGCAAGGCCTCTTAAAGAAAATTACATGTTTTGCCCTCAAAGGTACATCCTCTCAGAGACTCCGCCCTTTTGTCTTCTCTCTCTTCCATATGCACTAAGGTTTATTCACAGAACCACAGACACATTTGGGTTGTAAGGAACCTCAAGAAGTGTCTGGTCCAACTGACCTCCTGCTCACAGCAAAGCTGACTTGAGGCCTTGTTGTTCAGGGCTTTGTCCAGTTGGGTTTTGAGGACCTCCAGGCAGTCTGTGGCCTGTTCCCAGGCTGCAGCACTCCTCTGAGGAGTCACCTGCTGTCCATGCAGCTGTCCTCTACAGCTGTCTGTAGCTGCTTGTGGGATGTGCCAGAACACTTTGTCAGGTGTTCTGATGCCTTCCTGCAACATTTGGGCAACAGGTAGAGACACCTGATGGCCATCTGTTTTTTACCACTTCCAGGTCTTCTGGTTTTTTTTTTTAATAATTGTCTTGATATCATTAAGGCAGTTTGGACACACACTGCTCAAGCATGCTGTGCCTCCAGGCCTTTTTTGTTGTGCTTCTGATAGTACTTCTGAAGCTTTTTTTACCCACTCACCCCTTTCCCCTGCCTTTAACACTATTTTGGCTGTACAAATACTAGGGGAATTTTCTCTTGGACTTGATCACTGAATGGAGTTGGTTCTTGAAGCTGAATTGCTCTCCAGATAACATTGCTGCTAAGGGTGTACATAGACTTGTTACTCCTTTCTCTGTTGCAAAGCCTTGACATTTAGTGCTTGGGGAGATCCTGGTCTTACAAGATGTGAGGGCAGCCAAGCCATTTCAAACTGCTACCAGGATGGCATTCTGGATGGATGAGGATGCTCCTGTTGCCTGTCTTAGCGTTTACTGCTATGGTTAGCAGCAGATAATGCTGAGATTGAGGAATGATGTCAGTTATATTAGAAGTGTTGCAGGAGTCTACTGGTAAATCTAATTCCAGGCAATTCTGTGAGATTTCTGAAATCTCATTCTTGTGCTTTCTTGAATCTGAGGTGAAGTTTCTGGAATGTAAGCTCAAAGTCCAGTTTGGTCATTCCTGCCTTTGAAAAATTTACAGGAGACTCATGGTTGTGTTTTGCACAGCAGCACCAGCTGCTCAGTGCTGGAGGATTTAGGCTTTCTGGGTTCAAGGTGATTGTGGTACTACATTTGAGGCCTGCAGCCCTGAGCTGGGGCTCCCACTGTAGGAAAATCTAGTGGTGCTCTTTTGTGCTCTTTTCCTGGCTTTGGGACTATCAAAAAACAATTGCTGGAGTCTCAATGCTGCTGGTGAAATTCTGGAAAGTCTCTTTTTTCCCCTGTGTACCAGTTATTGTTGTGTAGACAGTCCCAGTCACTCATGAAGACTGGCCTGAAGGGGCCAGCTGCTGCAGTTTGCACTGATTGAGAACCAGTAATACATTTGGAGGTGAGACAGGGTTTGCCAAGCCTTGCCTGCAAAGCACAAGGACTTGACCAGTGGCATCTGCAGGAGCTGTGACTGGGTTGGAGTGAGTCACTGCTTGTAAAACCTCCAAGTCACAGAGGGCTTACAGATCCTATGGTCAGTTGTTTAATCATGTTTATGAGATTTTCTCTAAGGAGTTGTCTGCTGGAGATATTTGTGATTTTTATGAGATGGGTCATATCTCACTGTTTCTTTCCAGTGAACGAAATACGTTTAGCACTGGAAGGTGTTTTCTAAACCACGGCTATAAAGCAGCGGGATTCTTGTGTTAGATTTTTTATTTGAAACATCTCAACTTTTCCAGTAACTGTTATCAATTGTAGGCAGTAGCCAAGAATGAGACAGTGATGGTCTAACGTGGCACTGTGTGCAAGTAGCACTGTACTGAATGTCACCAAGTGGGCTTTGTGCTCTTTGAAGACTGAGTTTGCAGCTCAGAGAGCTGCCTCTCCAAAAACACTAGTAAGTAAAAAAATCCTTTCTGCTCCTTTCTCACTGAAACATGGTCCACAGTAGTGTGCTTAGTTTACTGGTGATTCTTTTTAAGTTCATTTGAGTTGAAGTGAGTTAGCCAATACGTAATAAAGGTTTGCAGTGCTTGAATTTAGAATGCTATCAGCTGCCCAGATAAACTCAGATAAGTCACAGCAGAGAATTTGGCTTCTGCACAAAGTAAAATATTTTTAATGAAGATACATTGACTGAAACCATGCTGGTAGGACATGATACTATTTTCTTAATGTTTTATTGATCGAACTGTGTATTGACACTGCTATTTTTGTTGAGAAATACTAGGTGGAGTGTTACTGTTTGTTCAAAAATTTGGCACAAAAAAATAGAAACTTCTTCCAGAGCTCTGCTTAGGTCTTACAGACCTTGTAGATGGGAGGTGGCTGAAATGTTGATTTAAGTGTCTTTTGTAGTTGCTAGTTAATTATTTTCTTATTTCAAATGATCTCTAATAGTGAAAAAGATAATCCTTCAGCTTTCAAAAGTATTGGAAATCTGAATATACATCTGTGAACAGAGGTCCAGGGCAGATACCCAAGCAGTTGCTGCTCCTTTGCTAGAGGAAAGCAGTAACTGCATGGCTGTGGGATTTTTGTGGGGCTGTAAAGACTTCTGAGATGTCATCTTCTTTGGAAGGGAGTAACAACAGCATTTTTTCTTGCTGTCTGTTTTTAATTAAATGTTTGATGGTAGATCCTCATTTCTGTAGGTAGGCCACATATTCCCCTCCTAATGGTTACCTGAGTTACAGCACCACCAATATCTTTAATAAGCTGGATAATGTCCCAGGTAGTCAGTCACTTGGATGTGCTTGGCAGAGATGTTGCAGTGGCCTGGCAGAGATGTTGCAGTTTGAGCTTCCACATCTGAGAGAAGATCCCACGTGCCTCTCTTTGGCAGAAATAGCTGGGCAGGTCTGGTAGTCACAGGTACTGGGCTTGGCAATCAGTGTCTTGTTCTGTGCCAATCCTGCACACTTGGGGAGGACCCTCAGCTGTCCCATCACTTCTTTGGAAATGCTTATTTGCTATCTGAGAAGTATTCTGTTGCAGACTGATGTGCCAGAGACTTTGCTCCTTCAACTTGTTCTTCCCAAGAATATATCTGTTACTGAATGCTCCAGGGAGTACTTACTCCTAAGTATAGGAGTAAGTTCCCAAATGGAGCAGTTGCCCATGTGTTGCCAAGTGCAGGATTTCAGCACACTGCCTCCTCTTGGTTTGGCCAAGTAATGTTGCACTGTACTCTACTTGCTGCCAGTTACGTGGCTGGAAAAGAGGAAGACTTTGGGCAGACTAGTGACCAAACACTGGTGACTGAGCTGTGCTTTAGCTGGTCCTGGAATAAGAGAGGTGATGACATGTGGTAGATCATTTCAGCACCTGCCAGAAACAATAAGCTATTCTGTTTCTGTTATAGAAAGTGAGAAAAGACTTTACCAGAGATAAAGTGCACACTCTGTTTGCAGCTTAACTCACTGTGAAGCTCAACAGAAGGCCCAGAGAAATCTGACTGCCTGGGGCAGACAGAAGTAGAGCTTCTTACCTTACTGCAGCAGAGCAGCTCTAATTTCTCCAGGTTGAGTTTGATTTCAGAGCAACCCACATAACTGGAAAATACCATTCTTTCCTGTTTTGAGAGCCGCCTTCCTCATCCTTATCAGCTGGTAGTTGAAAACCACTATAAAGAATTCATTGTCAGGGACATTCCGTGCTTTCCCACTCAGACTGTTAGTCATCATCACCTTGGGTCCAGCCTCAACTCTTAACTCCATCAGCTTTGCAGATTCTTTCAAATATATTAAGAGTTGGCATTTGTCTCCCCTGTATCACTTGGAGCTCTGCTGCAGCAGGTTGAAAATAAAAGGAAAATACTTCTAAAAACTAAATGTTAAACTGCAGAACTTAATACCACTGGAATTTTAGGAGGTCCAAAGTATAAATTGGTTCAAAGTGGGATTAGGAAGATTCACAGAGGATTTGCCTGGTACAAACCCTTAACAGGGACACTGGCAGTGCAGTTCAAGCCAAGTGGTTTTTTAGCAGCTGAGCCCTTGATTGGAGGATGTGCTGAAGAGGAACATCCTGTTAGTTGTATTTCTTATACACTCTCCCCAGGTATTCATTCTTGGTGTGAATAGGAGCAGGATATTCGAATACATGGTCTTTTCATTGGACTGACTGCAGCAGTCCTTAGCTTTGCACATCTTAAGAAGAAGTTTTGTTTCCTTTTCCAGAACGTGTGATCTGTTCTTCTGGGAGGATTCAGACAGAGCTGATGAGAGGGGACAGGACCTCGAGCACAGGGGGCTGTGCTTCCAAACAGAGTGTGCGAGTGAGTGCTCTTACTGCAGCCTTGCCTTTCCAGAACGGTCTGTCCCAGCCACGTTCTCATAGTTTGGAGTTGCCTTAATCTGCAGAATTTTTGTTCTCTTTCAGACTTTTGTGTTGGTCCAGGATGTTGCCGTTTAGTCATAGTTTTGTCTTGCATCATATCCCCAAAGTTTGAAAGCAATGTTAAGGTGTACACTGTTAAACCAGATGCCTTTGTAGAGCACATGAGTTCCATGGATTGTTGCTTGCATTATGCTCTGGGAGGGAATGCCCAAATGGATTTTTCATGTCCAAATATTCCCAGGGCCTATTTCTACCAAGTAAAGACTAGGCCAGCTGAAAGTGGGAAATACTTTATAAGTATCACCTTAGTGGTTCATAGCAAACTTGTGCAAAGTGTCTGAGGTGATTCTGAGTGGTGTGTTAGCTCTGTTAAGTATACCTATAAATAAATTTTGCTTCTTCATCTGGATGCCTTGAGGTTTTTGTGCTTATTGTTGTAGGGTCTACTGTCTGTCTGTGAAACTGGGTGGGGGATATCTTTGAGCAGGAGACATTGTTCCTATTCCGAGCAGCAGAAAAAAACCATGTTTATCATCTTGGGAGGATTCTCATCTGCTTCAAATCCTTAGGACATTTCTTTCAGACATCTTTGCTTCTATTTCACTTTGTTCTTATTTCTCTCAGCCAACCTAAAACATGTATTAGATCCTGTATTTCTCTGGAATTGGCTTATTCTAAAAGTTTTGTCTCATCTTGTAACTGAAAGTGAACAGAAACACCAAAGTATTTAGGGGTGAAACTTGAAAACTTGAAACTTGCTGAGAATTTCTAAAGATTACATTTGTTTTAGTTTCTGTTTGTGATGATGGGAACAGTGCTTTATCTGCCTCCAGGAAACAGAAAACATTATTGTGTATTTAGATAAAATAGGGCGGCAGTGGCTTCGAAATCCAGTTGTTGGGTATGATTTCCTTAAATTCCTGCTCGTTTAAGTTTCAGAAGTTGGGTACATTCTCTGTCCAGGTATGTTCTATTGAGTTCTGAGCAAACCATTTGTGAGTGAGAATTTGGATGTCCTTTCAGAGGGAAGGATATAAAAAAAGAGTTAAAACAGCCATCATCAATGAAATTATATCAGGCTTCCTCCTTCATTGATATAGACGAGTTATGCTCACTGTAAGCTCAAATAAACAAAAGTACCATGTCTTCTCATTCAGAGCTTAGAACAGTGCTAAATTTAGAATTGAAATTAGTTTGATAGGGAGGGATAGATTGTTGCCACATTATTTAATTCTAGTGCCTTTTTTGTAGTGTCTACTTAGAGCCTGTTTGGGGACATGATGTTATTTCAAGTCTTACACTGCCTTACCACTTGCAGACTCCAGCTCCTTCTCCCTTTTTCCCTCTCCGAGTTTGTCAACCATTATCTCCTTGCAGGGGTATAATTCAGTTTTAGACCATATTGCTTGCCTCATCTCAAAGTCTTGACCTTTCTGTCTTATGACAATATCAAACACGAGGATCTGGGCTGTTAACTTTCCCTCTGAGCTTGGCAGTCTGCATCACACCTTCCTGCTCAAGTGTACTGTTTGTGCCCTGCAAAGTCACCCTGCATTGCACGCTTGTGTCTATCTTGCTACTTGTTCTTCTTATGACTGCTTTTAACATCAGAGCCTTACCACCTTTCTTCTTGCCACCCTCCATAACTCCTAGTTCTAACTTAGGCTTTTCCAGTTATTCCATGTTTGAATATTAGCCTACATAGTTTTGGGGCTATGCAGTAGGCGTAGTTATACTGTAATATTGTTTATATCTGTCCTCTGACAAGATTAATGCATGTTGTCATCCTGTACCTTGTTAAGACTCACACGTCAGGGCTTGAAAGGAGTTATTTCTGCCTCTATGTTTAAGAGGAAAAAAGGTATTTTAAAATGAAAATGTATTTAAAAATTAGAAATATCTTAGCTCCTTAAGAGCAGGTCAGAAGAAAGGACAGATCAGATTATTTGGATAGAGAAGAATGCAAGGCTGGGGATATTGCCACAGAGCATCGGTGTGGAGCCTCCTGAATTGGTGCTGAAGCCATTTCTGATAGCCCAATGTGTCATTTAGTATAAGCAAGTTTTCTTTGCTGTGCTGTGATGAGGTGTGTGAGGGCTGTAGATTTCCCAGAGGTCTGTTATACCAAACTACTGCATCCTGCTGCTGACCTTTGTACCTTCTCAAGTGTGACACCTTGCTGGTGTCTGGTATCCTGGTTATAGCCTGGCAGCATTCCTGGGCCTTGTTTTACTCCAGCAGTGTTCAGAAGAGTGGACAGTTCATGTCCTTTCTTAGACTGCTTTTCATTTACTTGCAAGTTTCTCTCTCATTTCCAGTTGCCATCTTCTAAATGGATTCCAGTGAATTTTCAGGATCTTTGGACCCCCTGTCCTTGCCTGATAAACCGCTCATTGGTGATCTCCCTGCTGATACGGAGTTTGGTGAAGATCTGCTGGGCTCCCAAACAGCTTCTACCCAGGAAGTTTCAGTTCTTCAGCCCCCTGGCTGGGATCAATCCAAGCAGATGACTGGAGATGAGGACTTGGACCTTGTAGTGAAAGCAGACAGCGTGTCTGAACTAAATAAATCAAATGACTGTGTTCTAGATAAACCTGGTGTCTTAGATGATTTGGGTAAAACTTCTGACTTGGTGGAACTGGATAAACCAGAGGGTCTGGATGGGCTGTGTAAGGCACAACCTTCCCAGGATGTGGAGGGTGGACCAGCAGACTCCTCTGCCCTGTCTAGAGAAGCTGTTGGTCCAGAAACAGGGAAAGAAGGAGAGGATGCACCAAAAAATCGTTCTGGGGATGTAAAGGAAGATTCTCCTGCTGCTACTCCTGCACTGTCTGATGACAATCCCCCTGAATCACCCCAACAGCCTGTCCCTGACTCCAGGGACCTCAGCAGTGCTCCAGCCACAGAAGAAACCACAGCACAGTCCTCAAGCCCTACAGTGCCCCCACCCCAACTCAGTCTTAAACAAACAAAGAAGATGAAGTTGAAGGCACCAAGGAAAAGCTCACCTGCGCAGAGGGAAGGGCTGACAGGGGAGGCAGAGGTGCAACTGAGCTCAGACAACAGAACTTCAACTTTGCCCGCTGAGCCTGTGGAGAAAAGCCGGGCAGAGGAAGGGGATGATAATGGGAAGAACTCACTGAGAGAAAACACTGTACTCAAAGCACAGGAAGCCTTACCATCAACAGGTAAGTTGTTGACTCTGCAGAACTGGCTTCCTTTTGCTCAGGAGGTCATCCAGCTACACACTGCTGAAGCTGGAGTCTGCTCTGCATTCCAGCTCATCCCCTCCTCTGGAAATAGCCAACTCTTCTGATGATCTAGATTTGGTCAAAGCCTCTTGTGCAAAGGGAATAGTGTTCTGGTGTGCACAAGCTCTTGCTCTGGCTTTCATGCTTTAACTGGTTGTTGGTGCTTGCGGAAGCAAGGAGCTTCCCCAGTAAAACTGTGGCTGCTCTCAGCTTAGCTCATGCTCTTCACTGATGGAGTCTTTGGTGGAACTGAGGGTCACCAGCAGGTGTTTCCAATAGGCAGAGTTCCTTTGCCCAGGCTGGCTATCCCCAGGAGATGCTCAGTCTTGGTCAGAAACAGTTGGAGGTAACTGCCCACCCAGCCAGCCTCCCCCATGCAGGGTGGTCTCCCCTTTACGGGGCTCCTTCCAAACTATGTGTTTGGATCTGCAGCTACAGATGGTGGCTTTAGGAGTCTTCCACCACCAGAACTGATAGCCAGGACAGGCTGAGGCTTCATGTGCTGACTGATCTGAAGGGTGGCTTCATTTGGAGAACACTTGTGCTCTTCTGTTGGAGAAAAGCAAGATGTTAGATGCAAGCTTCTTCTGTGCTTCTGTTCTAGGAGAAAGCCTATCTGGGAAGGGAAGCGAGCTGCCAGCTGAGAAGGTGAGGAGCATGCAGTCAAGTCAAGTCATGCAAGAGCGAGGCTTGCTGTTGTCAGACTCTGTGAGGGACACTGGCTGTCTTGTCAGCCCTCTGGAAAGGAGTTTGCATGACTCCTATGACAGAATGATCCCTGTGCACTGCCACTATGCACTGCCAGTTCAGTGTGTCCCTGCTACCCTCAGCTGTTATTCTCATAAGCCTGCTTCCCCCTCTCCTCTGTCTTGCCAGCTCTGATCAGGTATGCATGGAGTTTTATCCATTTTCAGCCTAGTTATTGGGAAGCCAAATCCCAGAAGTTGGAGCTCCACCATAATGTGGGACATTTATCCATGGTTGTCCTAGCTGATAGTTAGCCTAACTATTTTCTGAATGTCTTCTAGGAGCAGAAAAGAAGTGAACGACCCAGAAGATCAGAAACTGCCAGGCCTGAAACTGTGAACTCCTCTGAGAGCAGTGAGTAACTGGGGTTGGCCAATCCCTGTTTTCAGCCAGAGAGAATGGCCCAGATCCATTGTGGGCAGGTAGTTAATGGTGGGAGTACAGTGGGAACTCTGGAACTTCTGTGTGGACTTCCCTTCTATACAGGACAGGTCCTTTCAGCCCACAAGTCTTCATCCTGGGATACTTGCCTTGCTTTCTCAGGGCATTTAGGCCAAAACAGGGAGTGTTGGTGTATTTTTACAGTGGTGTGTGGGCACCAAGCACTAAGTAACAGGATGAGATTTGGGGATGTTGCCAGGAAATCTATCTTCCATCTACTCACCCAGGAACTTTCTTCCTTTCCCTCTATGAGAGCAGGCTGTCTGAAGGTTGTATCTTGGAGATTTTCCTGGAGAAGTACATGAAGTGGCTGTTCTTTGAGATACTGAATGTCACCTTGCCATTCCCTAGTATTTGTGTGTCACTCCTTTATTGCCTGCCTGTGCTAGAATCTGCTGATCAGCATATTCCCTTTCAGGTCTAAGGAAGAAGTTCACACTTTGGGCTTCTGTTCAACCTTGGTATATCATGACTTCCTAGACGGGAATTGTATTTAAGCCTGGTTTGTTTAAACACGTCTTGATTCATCTCTAGTTACATCAGAATTTCTTTTAAGGGTCCCTTTATCATTCCACCCAGATGGGAATAAAGTACATAGAAGGACTCTAGAAAGGTGACTCAGAAAATCCCAGCATGTGTCTCACGGCAGAGTTTCTCACTTCCTAATGAGGCGTTTCTGATCTGCTGCTGCTTTGCAGTTCCAGTCTCTGACGAAGACTCTGATGCGATGGTGGATGATCCCAACGACGAGGATTTCGTTCCTTTCCGTACGCGGCGCTCCACTCGGATGTCGCTGCGCGCGCAGATGGCCCAGCGAGCCGCCCGCTCCACCTTCACCAAGATGATGTGTGCCAACTGCCGCACCCCTCTGCAGAAGGGCCAGACTGCCTACCAGCGGAAAGGGCTTCCTCAGCTCTTCTGCTCCAGCTCCTGCCTCACCACCTTCTCAAAAAAACCACCTGGCAAGAAGATATGCACCTTCTGCAAAAAGTGTGTTCATTCCCCTTTCCTCAGTGCTCCCATGCTTGTGACCCCACTCACCTGCTCCACAGCTCTCCTGACAGTCCCCTTTGTATGGCTCTCGTTCACCCACATCACTCCTGCCCACTGCCAGCTACTGCCCCATGTCTTCTTTCACACACTGCCTATCCCATGCTCCCTGCACCCCCTTCACATTCTTGCTTTCCCTGCCTGGCCCCAGACTTAGTGCCTCATATTCCAGCCCCCTCTCAAAACAACCTCCTGCATGCTTGTCTTCAGACACCACTCTCCTGGGCCAGGACAGAAGCTGCTGTGAGACAGTTCTTGCCGACTTTATCGGACATCAGAAAGTCCTGTGCATTGCAGTGAGCTATCCTATCCCTTTGTGGCAGGACACACATGTCCCTGCACTAACACATCCCCTCCTCATCCCCAGGGAGATCTGGAACACCAAGGACTCTGTGGTTGCCCAGATTGGTTCAGGTGGCTCTTTCCATGAGTTCTGCACCTCTGTCTGCCTTTCCCTCTACGAGGCCCAGCAGCACAGACCAGCACCTCAGTCTGCAGATGCCTCGGACACCAGCCGCTGTAGTGTTTGCCACAAACCTGGCGAGGTAAACGAGTCCCTTGTCCTTCCCATGTCCTGGATTGTTGGGGAAGGTTAAAATGGAAAACCTTATAAATATGATTGCCTGGCAAAAGATTTTGAGAATATAGAAACTATAAGTGAGATCGAAATGAAAGCCATCTTTGAGATACCAAACCTTAGTTACTGAACAACTAGAAAACAATAGTATGGCCAGCTGAAAGTAATCCCCTCTTGATTGAACAATCCCCTCTGCTGCAGAGGTCCAAAGGGCAGAGAAGACCCTTCTAGCATCGCAGAGGGGGTCCAAAGAGTAGTTTTTAGGATTTAAAGTGTAATACAGTGTGGCAATGTAATGATTCTTATAGGCTGTATGTAAATGGTATAGGATTTGTATCTTTTATTAGATTGGTTAGTGAAAATTCGAATATTCAACACAGAAGAAGATTTATTGTATTGTAACAGGAACCTCGCTCTCTTACTGCTCTTACCCCTCTTACCTCCCTTACCTTTTACTTCTTACCTCTTACCCCTTGCTCTCTCTTTACTCTTTTTACTCTTGCCCTCCTGCTCTCACAGGCCTGCTCTGAGCTGCGGCTGGCAGCTCCAAGCAGGGCCTTCTACCCACGCCCTTTGCAATAAACCACAAGTTCCAACACCTGGCTTTAGAGATCTCTCCATCAGTCCCGACCATCCAGACTACCGCAGCTCCTACACTGGATGAAGTGCTTAAGACCCACAGCACTTAGTCTTGGTCAAGACCAGGCATTTGCCAGGTTTTTCTGTGGTGTGAGGCCTCAGCCCCTGAGCTGGCTTGGGCTCACTCCCAAGCTTTTCCTTGCCCTGAGGCTCTCTGCTTCCTGGCACTCTGCTCTCCCAGCTGCTCCTCTGACTTTTGGCAAGGGAAGCCACTCTGAGTCCACACCAGCTTCCAGTATGGCACTTCCCAGAGTTTTAGTGCCTCTTACCCCAAGGGCTGTGCTTGTAGTGGTACAGCTGCACTGGAGGGAGGCCCGTGGTGGTCTGGGGAGTGACAGCAGTAATGTCTCTGCAGATCCAGCATGAGGTCAGCAATGGGAATGTGGTTCACCGTATCTGCAGTGACGCCTGCTTCACCAAGTTCCGAGCCACCAAGGGACTGAAAACGAACTGCTGTGACAACTGTGGACTTTATATCTACAACAAGGGCTTACCCCTGGAGTACCTCTTCCATGAAGGCCAGCAAAAACGCTTTTGCAACTCTGCATGTCTCAACAGTTACAAGAAGGTATGTGGGGGTAGCTGCCTGGGGTGGAGGGGTTCTCTGTGGGCACACAGCAACTTTACTTGGTGTGGCACAGGGCATTTTATTAAATAACAGGTGACTTGAATCCCCTTGGTCTTTTATTGCTGACAAAGCACTTTAAAGATTGCTGTGGGGAAACTCTGAAGCAGGCAAGCAGAATTTATTTAATCTGCATGACACCTACCATGGACCCAAGCATGGGACAGAAAATCAGTGAGCTGATGGCAGAGTGACACTGGTATATGCAATTAGCATGGACTGGCTTCTGGATGTCTCCCTAAAGCTGGGCTGGATATGTTCCTCTGTCACCTGAACAGTCTTCACTTAACTGTCTTGGAAGGGATTTCCAAACTCTGTATTCCTGCCAGGCTACCCTTGAAATGAGGAGCTGAAGTGCCAAAAGCAATTTTTTTTGCTACCACCACCTGAATCTGCAGACTGTGAGCCTGTCCCTGGCATCAGGTGGTCAGTGCAGGAGAGAGTCCTGTAGTGGATACAGCAGTGGGGCGGGATGTGCTAGCTGGACTTTGCCATCTGTGATGGCCTCCTGGAAGCTGTGTTCTGCTCTGTGTTTGCAGAAGAACACTCGAGTCTACCCCTGCATGTGGTGCAAGACACTGTGCAAGAACTTTGATATGCTGCCCAATGTGGATCGCAGTGGCAAGATGGGCCTGTTCTGCTCCATTTGCTGCACTACCTCCCACAAAGTGAAGCAGTCAGGCTTAGTTGGTAAGAGCACCTGTGTAGAGGGAATCATCACCTCTCCACTCTTAATTCCTTCCTTGGTATTGATTATTGCCTGTGGATGAGACTAAAAAGAAGGTCTTGGGGGGAAGAATCCAGTGAGACAAGTGGAAGTACAGAGGGAGGAACCCTTGCAACGTGTAGGCATCTTAATACAGAGTAGTGTACATTGCTGTTCTTGAGAACGCAGGGAGCAGTTCTAGTGCTGGATTGTGCTGACATTGCCCTTTCCATTACATGGGATACTGTGGTGTTCAGAAATGGGACAAGTATTTCAGCCTATTTTGTCCAAATTCCTATAGAGCCAGGGTCACTTCTTGAACCTCTCTGCTCTCCATCTGTTTAACATTTCTGTCCTAGCAGAATCTGGTGTTCTTAGTGTCCTGGTGTTCTTGTCCCTTGCTTTTTGATAATAGCTTGACTGACTGGATGAATGAGACAGAGGATGAGTGAGTAGTTTGCATGCCATTCTCAGAATCCAGTCCCGCATCTTGTGCTGCTGCCCTCACCAATTCCTATCTGTTTCATCAGGTCCCCCTAGACCCTGCAGCTTCTGCAGAAAGAGTTTATCTGAACCCTGCTATTACAACAAGACAGACCGGGTTGTGTACCAGTTCTGCAGCCCCAGCTGCTGGACCAAATTCCAGGTACTGAAATATCCTTCATGCTGGGCTGGGCTGTGAAGCTCATGCCTTCTTTCACACTAAGCAGAGGCTCCACCTTCCTCGAGCTCCTCAAGGAATGTTCCTAAGAAAGTCTCTTCTGGAGCAAAGGCGTTACAGTAACTGTAATTGCTCAAATCCAGTCTTGGCCCTATCTCCCCCATCCTCCACTGGGATAAGGTGGGCTGTAATTCACTCCTGTCTATCAGGTTTTGCCCAGCAAGAGGGCAGTGCAGAGCTGTGCTGCATGAGTGGTTTGAGATGGAGTGGCCTCATGAGAGCACAAGCAAATGCACAAGTAAGCCAGCAAAGCACAAGTGCATACATGATAGCTGGGTGGAAAGGGGCAGAGCTGCCCGCTCAGCCAGGTGTCACTGAGAAAAATAAGCCTTCCAGGATGTGTTGTCTAAAAATTTACAACTAGCAGGCCTGGATACCTCTTGTTTAATAATCCTCAAAGGCTTGACTGGTGATTTTTCATCTTCTGGTGTTAAGTTTGAGCATATGTGAGATATCTGTGGTATTCATAGGCAACTTCAAGAATATTAGTTTTGTACAGTTGTCAAAGAACAAAGTAACAGCCAGGAAGACATGAGAAACTAATGCCAGGACAAGTCTTGGGCAAGAGAGAACGTAGAGAATCTGGAGGTAAGAGTTAGTTACCAGCGGGGGGGGCGGGGAGGGGAGGCATTTTGTTGGTTGGGGTTTTTTTGGTTTATTTTTGTTCCTTTTTGTTTGTTTATTTGGTTTTTTTTAATGAATCCTTGTTGTAATCCTTCACTGAGGTCACAAACAGTGTGAGTAGTGTAGCTATAGAGCCTTTAGCATTGTAGACTTTGTAAGACAAAAACCATAGAACAGTTTGGTTTGAAAGGAACCTTTAGATGTCATCTAGGCCAACGTCCGCTGCAGTGAGCAGGAACATTTTCAACTAGATCAGGTTGCTCAGAGCCCTGTCCAATCTGACCTTGAATATTTCCAGGCTTAGGGCACCTACCTGTGCCAGTGTTTCACTATCTTCATTGTAAGAAAACTTCTTTATAGCTAATCTCAATTAAAACTATTACCCCTTGTCCTATTGCAATAGTGTCTGCTAAAATGTGTATCCCCATCTTGCTTATAAGCCCCTTTTAAGTATTGAAAGGCCACAATAAGGTCTCCCCAGAGCCTTCTCCAAGCTGAATAATCCCAACTCTCAGCCTTAGGAGAACTGTTCCAACCCTCTGATCATTTTTGTGGCCTCCTCTGGACTTGCTCCAACAGGTCCATGTCCTTCCTGTCCTGTGGCCCCAGAGCTGGAGGCAGCACTGGGGGTGGGGTCTGACCAGAGTGCAGCAGAGGGGCAGAATCTGCCCCCTCCCCTGCTGCCCACAGGGCTTTTGCTGCAGCCCAGGACACACTTGGCTTTCTGGGCTGTGAGTGCACATGGCTGGGTCATGTCCAGCCTCTCATCCCTCAGCATCCTCAAGTCCTTCTCTGCAGGGCTGCTCTCCATCTACTCATCCCCCATCCTGGATCAATACTGGGGTTGCCCTGTCCCAGGTGCAGCACCTTGTACTTGGCCTTGTTGAACCTCACAGGATTCCCATGGGCTTGAGCTTGTCCAGGTCCCTCTGGATGTCACTCAGTCCCTCAGGCATTTCAAGTGAATGACTCAGCTTGGTATCATCTGCAGACTTGCTGAGGGTGCTCTCAATCCACTGTCCTTGATGAAGACATGAAACAGTCCTGGTCCCAGTACAGATCCTTGAGGGTCACCACTTGTCACTAGACATTGAACCTTTGGCCACTACCTTCTGGATGCAACCATCCAACCAAATTCCTCATCCACCAAACAGTCCAGCCATCAAATCCTCCTTCTCCAGTTTAGAGAGAAGGGTGTTGTGGGGAACCGTACCAAAGGCTTTACAGAAGTCCAGAGAGATGACACCTACATCTTTTTGCTTCTCCATTGAGGAAGACAGCTAGGTTGGTCAGGCAGGACTTGCCCTTGGTGCAACTGTGCTGACTGTGTTGGTACTTCCCGTCCTCCATGTGCCTCAAGACAGCTCTGGAAAGATCTGTTCCATGATCTTTGCAGGCACTGCACAGTTCAGTTGTTTTCAGGGTCCTCCTTTCCCATTTTAGAAATGGTTGCAACTTTTCCCCTTTTCCCAACTGGGACTTCATTAATTCACCTAACTTGAATTATCACCATATAAAATCAGCACTGTAAACAGATGAGTAAACCTATGCATCGCCTGGATTAGGAGCTGTCTTGCTGGCAGATCTCAGAACACACTTGTCAAAGAAAAAACACTGAAGAGAATGTTTCAAGATGGCTTCTTGAGGATCAGTGTTAAGCCCAAGGACTTCAACATCTTCATTGATCATTTGGCAATAAAGTCAAAGTAAGCATGGTGAAATTTAGCAGATGAAACAAAAACTAGTGAAGTGTTAGCCATGCTGCATTCAGGGTAGTCACAGAAAACAAAGCAATTGGATTCATTGACAAGGCTGGTTCCTCCTAATGTATGCTTAAACACAGTTTAAGTGCAAGATCCTGTGAAAGTAAGGATTTTGAAAAAGCCATGGAATTACAGCAGATAAACTATTCAGCACGAGCATCTCAGTTTACAGCCACACAGGGAAGGATTAATTTGTTGCAAGTACAAGCAGGTGAACATGGAGTTAACATTTGAGGGCCAGGGGAGCAAAAGAACCGCCTAGAATGATGCACATATAGGAAGGATGTTCTCCAATGTCCACTTTATTTTCAATGCTGAAGAAGAATTGGAAGTATTCTGAAAAAAACCCAAAAATTAAATTTGGGCTTGAAAACCCTTGTACTGAGGCACTTGCAGAGTGTCTTATCTGAGGTTATCAGAAAGAAAACCTAAAATTATTAATAAATACAGCCTTGTGGATAAGACACCAAATGCTAAATGCATTGTGGACAGGACACCAAATGCTGTTTTAATCTAGCAGAAAATGGGATGAGAGGCTGCTTGAATTCTTAAGTTGCATTATCTTGAAAATAGAAATCAGGCACCTATGCACTAAGAACTTTTAGAGAAGTTCTCAGAAGAGGTAGCAGAGCCCTCATCATTTAAGTTTTCAAATCCAGCAGCGTGGGAGCTTGAAAGTTTGCCTTCCTGGGAAGAGCTGGACCCAGCACACCAAAAGCAAAGTGAAATTGCCCTCAAGAATCGGCAGCAGTGGTGGCAGTGTGAGGCAGGTGCCTGCTGCCCTCCAGGTGCTCTCCCCCCATGAGCTGTCTCTGTCTCCTGCAGCGCACCAGCCCGGAAGGGGGAATCCACCTCAACTGCCATTACTGTCACAATCTGTTCAGTGGGAAGCCGGAGATCCTGGATTGGCAGGTGAGGACCTCACTCGGGGGATGTTGAGGTGGAGGCCAACACTGCTGAGAACCTCTGGGGTACTTCCTCTCCCTGCTTTAAGCAAAGCTCCTCCTGTGCCAGTCCTCTGAATGCCTTAGCTGCAGAGATGTGCCTGAAGACTGTGCTGAGTCCTGCACTCCTGATATTCAGCACGATGTCAGAAGGGCAGGAGGAGACCACTCCTGCCAAATCATGTGCTAGGAGAGCTGGGGACTTGATTCAGCCCCATAGTCTCTCTCTTGCTTCCCTGAGAAGTGTGGGAACCTCCTGCCAGCCTGGCTGACCTGGTTGTGGTCTCTTTGGCAGGACAAGGTGTATCAGTTCTGCTGCAAGGACTGCTGTGAGGACTTCAAGCGGCTGCGTGGGGTGGTGTCTCAGTGTGAACACTGCAAGCAGGAGAAGCTGCTGCATGAGAAGATCCGTTTCTCTGGAGTGGAGAAGAACTTCTGCAGCGAAGGTACTTGGGGAAGGCATGGGAGAGGCAGAGCCCCCATGCCAGCCCATGCTGGGGGAGGAGAAGAGAGCATGGAGAGGAACAGAGGGGAGATTGTCTTAGCCAGGCCCTGGGGCAAGAGCCTTGCCATGAAGTGAAGGGAGGACTGTTGTGGGGATGGCTTGCTGTCCAGCCAGGCCCTAGGGCAAGATCTTTACCGTTCATTGTGTCCTTGGGGAGGGCTTTCTCACAGCTTTTCTCTCTCTGGGGGCTGGGGAGACAGCAGGTGGCAGCTCCGCTCCTCCTGTCATCATGCACTTCTACGCTCTTGCGTCTGGGCTGGCCTGACCTGGCTTTGCCCTGCCTGCTGGGTTCCTGCACACAGGAGGTTGGAGTCAGACTCTTCCTAGAAGCATGGAGGTGAGAGATGGCAAGTCCCCGTGAGGTCCCATCTTATCCCAGCCCCAGGGGCCAGTGCTGGATTGTTCCCTACAGTGTGTTGCGTGTGCTCTGTTGTCTCCGCAGACCTGGATTCTGGTCATGTTTGGGTCAGGGAGGCCCCCAGTTCATCCTGGGAAGGTTTCACTCCTATTGTTTCTCCGCAGGGTGTGTGCTTCTTTACAAACAGGATTTCACCAAGAACCTGGGCCTGTGCTGCATCACCTGCACCTACTGTTCTCAGACCTGCCAGCGGGCGGTCACCGAGCAGCTGGAGGGCAGCACCTGGGACTTCTGTAGTGAAGACTGCAAAAGCAAATACTTGCTCTGGTACTTCAAGGTCAGTATTGGCACTGGCAGCTTGTGCTAAGTGCTGTGGTGGGCACGGCACCCAGATAAGTGGGCATTGCACTGAGGAAGTTCCAACTGGTGGAGTCTGGCTGGCACTGCTGCGGAGAACCTGGCACTGCTGGAGTCCTGCCTGGCAATGACGGGACATTGCTACGGGGAAGCTCACGTAGCTGGAGTCCCCAGCTGATCCTGCCAGACAGAGCACTGCACTGAGGAAGCTCACAGTGCTGGATCCGCGGCCAGCGCTGCTGTGAGAAGTTCGCACCGCTGGAGTCCCTGGCTGGCACTGGCAGGGCACTGCTGTGGGGAAGCTCACTGCACCTTGAAATGTGCACCTTTCACTGGAGAGTTGTGTTGCACTCGGAGGGGGTGTGGTTAGTTACTCGTTGTTTCTCTCCTGCTGATGCGGGCTTTAGGCAGCTCGGTGCCATGCCTGCAGGCGTCAGGGGAAGCTGCTGGAAACCATCCACTGGCGGGGGCAAATCAAACACTTCTGCAACCAGCAGTGTCTGCTGCGATTTTACAATCAACAGAACCAGCCCAACCTGGACACGCAGAAGGGGCCCGAGAGCCTGCTGAACAGTGAGTAGGAGGGAGGGAGGGAACCTGCATAGCTCAGTGTGAGAGACACAGGGAAGACTCAACAGCAGGGGGTGGAAGCTGCCTGCCTGGGACTGGAGGAGACGCTAGGGAACAATCCTGCACTGGCCCCTGGGGGGGAAAGGACGGAGTGGGACCTAATGGGCTTCTCCATCTCTAACATCTATGGTTCTATGACACACAGGGCCCAGACGGGAGGAGCCGGTGCCAGCGTGCTGCCTGTAGCTCACACTCTTAGCGAGGATACTCAGGGATTTAACATCCTCAAGTTGCCAGCGGAGAGCTCGATTTACAGGGTTAGGGGACAGCGTGGTTTGGCATGACAATCCACCTGCAGCCTCACACCACCTCCGAGCTGTGACCTTCTCAGATCTCATAAACTAATCTGGATTGGGCCAGGTCAGTGCTTGGATGGGAAACATTCAAGGACAAAGAAGGGTGCTGCAGGAAGTGGTGCTGGTGATGCTGTAGGTGGGCTCTCCTTCAGCCAGAGCTGAACCTAGAACGGTCTTGAGGGAGCACTGAGCTGCTGGAGGCACTGTGTCTTGCAATGTTAGATTGGAGTCCTGCCACTTACTCAAAGTTCACTGCAGCTTTGGGGAATTGCCAACCCCGTGTCCCAGATAACCCCATTCTGCATCCATGGAGTTCCAGCTGGAGAGGAGATTTTCACTGCCTGTTGCCCCATTTCCTATCATTAACTCGAGCCAGTTCCTTATGGAAGATGGCAAAGTGCTTTGGGATCCCTCAGGATGGAAGGTGGTTCTAGTGACAGTGACAAGACACCGCTTGGCCCTCGGACACCTGCAGTCTCAATTCTGCCTGATCTTTCATAGGCCACGATCTCCTGGTGACCTGGGGGGGATATAGTTCAAGTGCTTGCAGCTTACGGTTGGACTTGCTTCAGTGCATCAAGCTTCAACACATACCTGCATCACAGGTTCAGGGCTTTGCTAGCCTCCCTGGGATTTCATGACGGGTAAAACCCTGGCTAGGGTGTGCCAAGGAGAGGAAACCAAGACAAGGACCTTCACATGAGAGACCTCATCCTGCATCTCCAGACTCTTGAGGTTCCTCCCCGACTGTCGTGCACTGATCATAGGACAGGGGAAGCTCCGGATGTTGTTGCTGTTTAGGCAACAAAGCAGAGTTTCTCTGCCAGAAGCAGCAGATTCCCTCAGCTAGGGGAAGCTCAACCTGCCTTCCAAGAGCCACGCTCCATAACAGGCTGTGTGAGGTGACAGCTCAAGTGGCAGCACAGTGGAATGACATGGATAAGGAACTCTTGGTTTCTGCTGCCACAGGGTGCCCTTGGGAATTCTGCTTGATTCAGTGTTCTGCTGCCCAAGGGAGGAAGAAGTATGTGACATGCTGGTTCCTGTAGCTCACCAAGTGATTCCACAGCCCTAGCCATGCTGTTCCATTTGTCCTCTGCTGTCAAAGCATGTCACTTTTGAGACATCTGTTAACACGGCTTTTGGGACACAGTGGGCAAGCTCTACCTGCAGAGGGAAACGTGTTTCACACTGTTTAGCCGTTGTCTTCTTGGAGCCATGGACCACAAGACTGAGAAGTACCTTCACCACCAACAACCACAAGAGTCTCAGGCCTTCTCCACCACATCTCTGGAGGCCCCCCCTAGAACTCTGCTGCTTGGTATGTGGGGCATCACTCTTGATCGTGCCACAGCTGCATTTCTGTGCAACCTGTAAGGACTAAAGGGAGCCAAGGAAAAGCCCATCATCAGCTGTCAGTGCTCAGCTGAGCACAAGTTCCAGACTGCCCCAGCAGTTACTGTGCTTAGTAGATGCTGCTGGTGGCACTGGGCCCTCTGTATGTTCTGGCACGCCATTTCCCTGCCAGATGTGGATAGCTGTGGGCATCCTTGCCCCAGGACTGTGGCATACGGCTGAGTTTGCAAAGGATGCTAAAGCCAGGATTCATTTACAGAGGGAACTTTCTAGCCTAGCTGTGCTGTGCAAGAGATTTCAGGAGGACCAGCTTTTGCATGGTCTCCTGTGGACCTAACAGCTGTGTTGCCAGCTTGCAAAGGACTCCCTGGATTTCAGGCTCATCTTGGACAGAGCTGGTTATTCTTGCTTACCCTCTTGGAGCCAGTGATTGCCTGATACCATAAATTCCCGTGATCCAGTGGCTGCTACCGATCTGGTGATCCTGAGAGTTCTTGTAGCTGATCATACCAAGCAGACGTTCCCTTACTTGGAACAGTTCATGTAGTGTGGGATTGAGGAGCTTCCGCTTCAAAACTGTGCGCAAAGGCTTCTGAGAGGACGTGGCTCTGCACCGGGCTGTCCAGCTGGAGAGGGTAGAAATCACAGTTGTGGCAGGCAGTGCCTTGACAGCTCCTTGTTGGTGTTGGGATGAGAATAAGAGCAAGCTGCAGCTTTCTTGGAAGCCTGGACACATAGCACATGGCAGGAGAATCTTGTTTTCTTTAGTCCTAAATCTTTGGCCAGGAGGGCAATCATGTTTGCTTTAGATTCTGCTGCAGCAGAAATTCTGCTCATATGCCATAGCTTGTCTTTTCTCATTCAGGCCATTGGTGTTTCCTACTTGGATCTGCTGCCCATCCACTTTGGGTTGTCAGAGTGAGTTCTTGGCCCCTGAGACTGCTGCAGTTCCTGTGGCTGAATGCTTAGCTGCAGACTAGGGAGCTTCCTCCAGCTGGGATTTATCTGTTGTCCCCTGTGGTGGTCAGTAAGTGGAGCCTGATGTGCCTTAAATTGTACAAGAATTATCCTGCATTTCCTCGGGTCAGAGGAAGTCTTCACAGTGTGAATGTCGCTGTGTTGAACCTTTAGGAATCTGGGTCCTTCTTGAAGGACCTGTCTGTGTATAGGAGTTGTGAATGGACCCGCCACTGCCTTTGGGTGCTGGGACCTGCTGTGGTCCTTGCAGGGGTCTCCTTCATGCATGGCCCACTGGTAGAAGGCAATTCTTTTTGCCAGCCACATGGGCAACCAGCGATCACTGAAGACTGGGATGAAGGTGCTCTGTTAGCTCCCCAGCCTTTGAGATGGGTGCAGGTTTTCTGCAGAGCACATGAGCTGGAATTACCAGGGTAATACTGTCACCATCTGAGACCAGCATGTGCCACATGCACCTCTTACCTGCAGGTGATCCTCTCTTTCCTTAGGGGAATGGACTGCATCCCTTGGGCTGGGGCAAAGCTGTCTCTGCTTTCTGGGATTTCTCATAATGCTGCTACTAGCTCTGTCACCTTCTTCCTAGGGATCTTGAAGCACTTTGCCAAGATATTTGTTGCAGGGATATGGAGGCACAGGGAGGGGTCATGGCTCGGTACAGCAAGCCAATAGGCAGAGCTGGGATTAGAGCCCTGGATTCCTCTCTCTACAAGGGGCTGGGATCTCTCCTGACCTGCTGTGATGGGGAAGGGGTGGACAGTAAGGGAGCACAAAATGACATGGGAAGAACTTGATTTTGGAGTTGTAGTGTTTTCTGAGGTGTTAGGGCTAGAGATTGTGAAAACATTAACTGTTCCTGGAGTGGCCAGGAGCAGTTTCTGGGGAGCCTGTCCCTGCTCTCTGGCTGCTTGCACCTCCAGTCCCAGCAGTGGGACATGTTGGCTCAGGAGCTCTTGAACTTAAGAGTTGTTGCTTTCTCTTACAGGTCAGACTTCAGAGTCAAAACCAGCTGTCCCTTCCCCACAGAAGGCAGAAACTAACATGGTAAGACCCACTGGAGGTAGGACTTTGTAAGACAAAGGGGCTGTTTCCAAAGAGAGGATAGTTCTGCCTTTGCTCAGGGAGATGTCATTCTTCTACAACCAATGCATTTTGAGATGTCTGAGTAGTGGGAGATGAAAAGAACTCCTAGGAAGACAGCATTAACATATATCCTGCAAAGGGGAAGAATAACTGTTCCCCAGAAATCAATTATGAACTCCATAATATCTTGACACTCTGGCACTGGCTCCTCTTTGCACAGTGCTTTCCTGTGCCGGTATAGTTGCCGTCCCAGTGTTCCCCTCTACCCCATGGGACAGGAGCCACCATTACCAGACTCCTGGCACAGCAGAGGCAGCACACAGGCTTGCTGCCTGCCAGGAACAGCTTGGCAGTCCTTCATCATGGCCTGACCATGGGAGTGTCCATGTGCTGGGGACTGTCAGACTCCAGGAGGTGTTTTGTGAGTCATTCCATCTGCACCTGTAGTAGGGAAGAGATTGTGCTGACCTTAGGTGGATGCCAACATCCTGCTTTCTGCATTTCCCCAGCTGTCAGCAAAGGCTTCCTCAGCCCACACATCTCCAGCTGTGCCGCCTCCCGCCCCACCTCTGGTTCCAGCCACACCTCGGAAAAACAAAGCTGCCATGTGTAAACCACTGATGCAGAACCGGGGTGTCTCCTGCAAGTTTGAAATGAAGTCCAAAGGATGTCAGACAGGTAGGAAAACAAGACTTAACTGTAGGATTACAGAGGCATTTTGGAAAAGCAAGTTGCACATCCATGCTCCAGACTAACTGTGAATCCAGCCTGAAATGCTGCACAGCAGGCTGGGTGTTTGGCACTGTGCTGAGGAGTCTCTTTGCACGTGCAGGGCACACATGGCAGGGCTGGGGTAGGGAGCCCTTTTCCATCACCAGCAAAAGGAAAGATCTAGAGAGCTCTGTAGCATGATCCTACCTCTTGTGAGACAGCGCCTGTTTCACTGGAGATCATTAGCTTGTCTGAAGGCTGTTTGCTAAACAGGTTCCACTCTAGTTCCTGTTGTGCATGTGTGACACCATATGCAAGGCAACTAGACTTCTTAGCAGGGCTGTGTAAGAACAGGATTTGTACTTCTGGCTAAGGCAAGCCTCTCTTGTTGCTGCCTTGACTTGCTGCTATTCCAGCTCTGCCCATGAGTCCTAGAAGCTGGTGGCTGGAAGGGCTGTGGTGCTGGATGGCTGGGGGCATGGCAGCATGCAGCAGAGCTGGGTGGAGGAACTTGTGGGATTAAGGTCACTGATGTATTTTTGCTCTTGTCAGAGGCTGACTGGAAGCCCCAGCTGGTTGTGTTGCCAATCCCCGTCCCGATCTTCGTGCCTGTGCCTATGCATATGTACTGCCAGAAAGTACCTGTGCCTTTCTCCATGCCTGTCCCGGTAAGCAACATGCTTCACCTGCTTGTGTTCTCCTGCTATTGTGATCCTGCCTTGCTGAAGTCTCCCTGCTTCTCTGCTCATGCTCTTCTCCTGCCTCTGCTTTTATGTCAGTCTACTGAGTGTCAGTTTTCTGCCTGGTGTGCTGCTGTCCACAGGTGCCTGTGCCAATGTTCCTGCCCACCACACTGGAGAGCACAGAGAAGATTGTGGAGACCATTGAGGAACTGAAGGTGAAGATCCCCTCCAATCCCCTAGAGGCTGACATCCTGGCCATGGCTGAGATGATTGCAGAGGCTGAGGAACTGGACAAAGCCTCCTCAGACCTGTGTGGTAGGTTCTGCCATGGTTTGGTCTGGTCCAACAGCTGGGATCAAGGGGGATTTGCCAGCTCATGGAGCTAAAACATCTGCCAGGGTTGTGGTTTTCCCAAAGCCTTTGAAAAGGAAGCAGGGAAGAGCAAGTCCTCAACTTCTGCTGAGGAAGTACCAGAAGGGAAGAGCTGCAGCAGGGAGCAGTATCTGCCACTCTTCCTTTTGGGGATGCCAGTCTTGTGGCACATGTGCAGCTTTCTTAGTTAATTCAGGTGGCTGTTCAGATTCTTCCCTAAAGCAGCTTCCATGATAGAAAAGGTAGCTGCATGCAGCCCTGGTCTTGCAGGTTTTTTCACTTAGAGGCTGCATTCCTACTATTTGCAGTGATGGGGGTTGTGGCTGGGGAGACAACAGCTTTCCAGTGTCTTGCTGTCCAGGGAAAGCTGGACAGCTCAGGTGTCGTGGGGCTTCTCTGAGCACAAGGACCCTGACTTCATTTTTCCAGCTATCACAGGGAAAACAGACAAAAGACTTTCAAGAAAGTTTGATTTATGATGAACGTTTTCATTTCAGACCTGGTGAGTAATCAGAGTGCAGAGGGTCTCCTGGAGGACTGTGATCTGTTTGGACCAGCACGGGATGATGTGTTGGCTATGGCTGTCAAGATGGCAAATGTCCTCGATGAACCTGGGCAGGACCTGGAGGCTGACTTCCCTAAGAGTAAGATCTGGGTGACACAGCTGTGCAGGACTGCTGCGGGGGGGGGGGGGGGGAACCTCCCACTGCCCTCAGCTGTGTGCACTTATTTCCCCATGCCCTCTGACTGACCAGGTGTGAGAGCCCTGCAATGACTGCTTGCAACAGGAGTGGGGAGACCACCACTTCTGGAGTGTGTGTTTGTCCAGACTAAACTTACCTGTTGTGAACATAAGACCTAGAGACGGAGGAATGAAAAGCTGATTTTAACAGCAGAAAGAGCAGGGCAGCAGCACTAGTGTGTTTGTGAATGATGATTCCAGAGGATCCAGCAAGACGAGAAACCTGGACAAGGCTTAGCATCCTGAGAAATGGCAGAATTGCTGAGTGTGTATTAACAGAAGGTGGAAGAAGAGGCAGGGACTTGCAGGAGCACAGCAATACTGAGGCAGGATGCTAGCAGCAAACAGCAGAATTGAGGTGCCTATGCCAAGCTGTCCAAGGTTGTACTGGCCTGGCACAAGGGATTGAGGAATGTTTCTCATTCCTCAGGTTTAAAAAAATAAACAAACTAAAGTCTGTCTGAGAGGAAAATGTGGGGTTCTGGCTATTCTGAGAAATTTTGGCATTGTCTGCCAGAGCCCTATTTCCTTTTTGGGCTGTGGCTAAAAGTTTGTGCCAGGCAGTGGTAGAGGATGCGAAGTGTTCCCTCTTCATTTTGCTGTAAAAATCAGGCCAGCACAGGGGGCAGGATGAGAAGTCTCATCTGAGCCCTTCTGCCTGTTTCCTTTCAGACCCTCTAGACATCAACCCCAGTGTGGATTTCCTCTTTGACTGTGGGCTGGTGGGACCAGATGATGTGTCCACAGAGCAAGATCTGCCTCGAGCTGTCCGGAAGGTGAGTGCCCTGTAGGCACTGCCTGCTTAAAGCCCTTCGGGTTTGGAGTGAGACCTGCCACCTGGGATGTAAGAGGTGAAGTGTGCCAGAGTCTTTGGCGGGCTGGGGAGGTTGTGCGCTCTCCCTTCAGGGCATGGTTGGCCTGTGGGCCACTCCTTGAATGAAAATACTTGCTTGTCACTTCGGAGGAGCTTTAAATGCTACAAGTCATGTGACAGCTGGTCTCTTTCTTGCCTGTGACCCTCGTAACTAATGAGCTTTGTTGGCTTGGCTGCCAGCAGAACAGTATCTGCTGCCATGGCACACTGGAGGGAGCTGACAGTCAGCGGGTGTGAGGGGTGGCAGGACTCCTGCACCTGTCCCAGGTAGGTGCCCAGTCTCACAGAACACCTCTCTGCAGGGGCAGAAGCGCCTGGTGCTCTCTGAAAGCTGTTCCCGGGACTCGATGAGCAGCCAGCCCAGCTGTACAGTGCTCAACTACTCATATGGTGTGAATGCCTGGAAGTCCTGGGTACAAGCCAAGTATGCAGGGGGAGAAACCAGCAAGGGAGAGGAGCTACGCTTTGGCCGTAAGTGCCTTGTCTGGATGCAGTGGAGTGGCAGAAACCTCCCAGAAGCTAGACCTTGGGGTGTGGAGGTGTTCCTGACCTTGTAGGCTGTTGTCTGAGGCTGTTGTGCTTGTCTCTGCAGCCAAGCCCATGAGGATCAAGGAAGACATCTTAGCCTGCTCAGCAGCTGAGCTCAACTATGGCCTGGCCCAGTTTGTCAAGGAGATAACCCGGCCCAATGGGGAGCGCTATGAACCAGACAGCATCTATTACCTCTGCCTTGGCATCCAGCAGGTGAGGGAGGCCTTGCTGCCCTCAGGTCCTCCACAGCCAGATTTGGGGGTCAGATCTGGTGAGGGGAGTTTGTGCCCCTTCATTCTGTCTTCTGGGCGGAGAGGCTGTCTGGACTCTGCATCAGTGCCTCAGCCCAGGATAGCATCCAACCTGGTTTGGTCTTTGTTCCCAAGCTCAGAGGGTAGGGTGGCAATTATTCCTTGGCCTTTCACCCTTCTTGCACATCTCTGAGGAGGGCTGGGGGATCTCCCCAAACTCAGGCCCTTCTTTAGCACCAAGTCTGGTTTGTCATGCCCCATGGTTTTCCTTGCAGCTCTCAGAAGTGTCTGTGTCTGCCCAACAGCTCTAGTGGTGCAAGAAGGGGTGTTCTGCATGTGTGCCCTAGGCTCTGGGGAGGGTTTGCATTCCCGCTGCTGCTGTGTTTCTCTTGACTGTGTGTTCTGTCTTTTCTAGTACCTGCTCGAGAACAATCGTATGGTGAATATATTTACAGACCTTTACTACCTGACCTTCGTGCAGGAGCTGAACAAGTCCCTGAGTGGCTGGCAACCCACAATCTTACCAAATAGTATGTGTCTTCAGAGTACCTTCAGTCCCCACATAAATCCAGTTTGTGCCTGTAGCCTTGGATCTTCTGGCCTGAATATGCTTCCCCAGCTTCAACCTTGGCATAGGCAGCACAGTCCTGCTGTGAATTGAGGTCATACTGACCCAAACCAACTGCAGAGCCAGCGTGGTTTACACTTCATCAGCTTCTGTTGCCCACAGCTGGGAGCAGAGCACATGTGCTTTGTATCCTGGGACAATTTTGAATCTTTACAACACTTCACAGTGGTGTCTCCACCCTTTGGCAAGGAGGTTGCCAAGCCAGGAGGCACACTGGTGCATGTGTTTGTGTTCCCAGCACATGGACAAGCCCTGCACATGGTGCTAGGCCTTGGCCAAGGTTGCTGTGCTGCTGCCTTGTGAATGGACTAACCTAGAGCTCTGCAGAGGCTTTTCAGGATGCTGTGATCTGGGCTGCTTTCCCTGCTGTCTTGTCAGTACTTAGTACTAGATCCAGCCTCATCTCTACACATTGGCTATCTCAGGCAGAGCCATTTGACTCCAGACCTGTGTATCTGTGCAGGAGCTGGTCAGATCTCTCCTGCCTGCTGCTTTTCCTTAATCTTTCACTGAGTGTGGTGGAGCACTGACCTGGAGTTCACTTTTTGGCCACCTAAAGTGATGAGCAGCTAGGATTGATTTGGGTTCTCACTTGTGGTTTGGCTGTGATCTGGAGAGGCTTATGGCTGGGCAGAGCTCTAGATCTGCTGATAGCTCTGGAGAAATAACCTTGTGAAAAAAGGGATGCTGTGAAGTATCAGTCTTTTGCAGTGAGCTTTCCTGGGCAGGGGGAAGGGATTGCCACAAAGCCACTGCTGATGTGACGTGGTTCTCCCTCTGTGTGTTGCAGACACAGTTTTCTCCCGTGTTGAGGAGGAACATCTCTGGGAGTGCAAACAGCTAGGTGTTTACTCACCCTTTGTGCTTCTCAACACCCTCATGTTCTTCAACACTAAGTTCTTCGGGCTGCAGACAGCGGAGGAGCACATGCAGCTCTCCTTCACCAACGTGGTGCGCCAGTCCCGCAAGTGCACCACGGCCCGTGGCATGACAAAGGTGGTGAGCATCCGCTACTACGCTCCTGCCAAGCAGAAGAAAAGCCGAGGTGGGTCTGGGGGAACATCTCTGTTATTCCCCCTGCATCCCCCATCAGGATTCTGCTGTGATCCAGCTCTCTCCCTCTCCACAGATAATGGCTCTGGAAAACGGAAGCGTGAGGAAGAGGTACCGATGCTGGAGCAGCGGGAGAACAGGATGAATCCCCTCCGATGCCCAGTCAAGTTTTATGAGTTTTATCTCTCCAAATGGTGAGGCTTTCTCTGGAGAAGAGGCATGTGCCATTTTGGGGCCACTTCTTAGTTTTGATGGAACCTGTGGAGTGACTGCTGCTCTCCAGACATTAATGCATGAGCATGCAGTCTTGCCCAGGTTCTGTGCTGCTTGACTGGACCAAGTTGGAGAGAATGCTTCTCTCTTGCCTCTTCAATCTCTTGCCCTTCTCCAGAGTGGCAGGAATGTGCAGTAGGAGTCCAATGCTCGGGTGGTTAGAGGTTTTGGCCTTGAACATGGAGCTGTAGGCTGTTCGTGTCTTTATCCTACTGAATGATGGGATGCTGTGATGAGCTGTGAATGCCCCTAGCTAAACACATCAGGCCAGGCTGTCTGAGCCCCTGAAGCTGATGTCCCATGTCTCACCCTCCTCTCTCTCTCTCTCCACAGCCCTGAGAGCCTGCGGAACCGCAGCGATGTGTTCTACCTGCAGCCCGAGCGGTCGTGCATAGCCGAGTCTCCACTCTGGTACTCGGTGATCCCCATGGACCGGAGCATGCTGGAGAGCATGCTGAACCGCATCCTAGCTGTCAGGGAGATCTATGAGGAGCACAGTCGGCTCAGCAGCCTGGAGGATGACATGGACTAAGGGCCTGGTGCTGCTGGACTGGCTGCATTCCAGCCCTGGACACCTCATCTTGCTGCTTCCCATTGCAGGGCAGGGGCCATGCAGCATAAGAAGGGATGGTGCTGCAGCAGTGCTGTCCCTGCATCATTACCAGACTTGGACCTCCCATCCTGCTCGTCACAGGCATCCCCTACATAAGTGGCCCCTGCATTCAACTCTGTCTCCGGTTTTGGCTGCTGGGTGAGCCATCTTCCCCAGGGCCCGTTCCCATGGCACAGGAGTGGCAGAGTCCCTGGGGCAGCTCCCCTGTCCCTCCCCTACCCCCAGCCCTGCTGCTACCCCACTATCCCCGTACCCAGGGCAGGAATTGCACAAGGCACAGTGCACCATCGGACCAGTGGCCCCTGAAGCTTTTACTTCCTCTTCCTTTAGCATTCCCTCACAAGGCTGGAGATATCAAGGCAGGAACAGTAGCTCTGCTGATGGGGCAGGATTGTCTTTTCAAGCCAGTGGGCATGAGAACTCTTGGGTCAGGGGAGAACTTCTGTCCCAGGTTGGGAGAGATTTGGGTTGGTTGCAGGGAGTGGATGGAGCTTGCACTGTATTTTGTGGGTAGAGATCTGGCCTTGCCACAGGGACACCTCCCTTATGTGCAGCCAGGATGCCTCTCTCTCTTTGGTCAATGTTTTCTGAGTTTGCTGAAAACTCATGGGGATGTGCCTGTGCCAGTGCTGCCCCTCTCTCCCCGCCCCGTTCCCCATTGTGGTGTAAGAATTCTCCCCTGTGCAAGCTGCCATCAGTGGGAACCTCTGCTCCAGCCAAGGGCCCGGGTATTTGCTGGCAGAAGCAGGGAGTCCTGCCTGGCCTCCCCCTCCCTCCCACAGCCACAGGCTGTCAGTGCCCTGCCCAGGGGAAGTCTAGCTCCAGCTGTGCCACTCCATGCTGCCTCCTGCCCCTTTCTCGTGTTCTGGTCGGTTTTCTTGAGCTGTACATGGGTCTCCTGTTGAGCCTGTATATATTGTTCTGGGCCCTGGCCTGGGGCCATCTGTTCTCTGTGTTCATGTGGAGAGTGAGCTGCTCACCAGTCTTCTTGTAGTGATGCCAGGGCAGTAGGACTAACCCTCTGTCTCTGGAAACCATTCATTTCAAATAAAGATGTGGAAAACTTTGGCAGCCCCTGGTTTTTCCCCCTGGGCAGGCTGAGCACTGTAGGAGAACAGTGTCCCTGTGCTGCTGTGCACCTCGCTGCTGTCCATCCCAGCCTGTGCTGCCTGCACTTCCTACCTTACCTGGGCTCTGCGGTCCTGCCAGCTCTGGCATGTGACGATAGCCCCTCCTCAGTGCCTACTGCTGCCAGCATGGCATGCCCTGCCTGTCCCTGCCCAACCCAGCAGTGGCCCTACCCTGGCCATGCAGTGTGTCCTTAGGATGGAGCAGTTGGAGAGCAATGCCACAGTGCCTGTGAGCAGAGCAGGAGTCAAGTGAGGTGCGGTAAGTGTTTATTTTCTTCCCCTTCCATGCTCTGCTCTCAGCCCTGCTGCTTGCAGGAGTGTCAGGAGCAGCTGAGCAGTGTCCCCAGTGCTGTGCCTGGCTCTCATGCTGGCCGTGGGGTCCATGCCTTGGGCCTGGCAGAGACTGAAGATACAATCACCACTGTGACCACCCATGCATTGCCCATCCCTGACCATCCCAGCAGGCCACATTTACACTGCCAGGTCTGCCATTCGCATGTCCCTATGGGACCCAGCAGCCACCCCTAGCCATGCACCTGCCTTCTTCAGTGGTGCCAGGCCATGGGGGGGTCTGCCAGCAGTCAGGGGGCTGCCACCCCTGGGCAGAGTGACATAGATGCTGCCACGCCCAACAGGAGTGGTTAGGATGTGGGGCTTGGGGCCTGGCCCCCGACGGCACTTGGTGAGACCCAGGTGGTAGATCTCCACCAGGTTGAGCAGCAGGGACACACAGGCCACCCCCAGCATGAAGAGGATGAAGATGGTCTTCTCGGTGGGCCGGGAGATGTAGCAGTTGACAGTGTTGGGGCAGGGCCAGCGGCTGCAGGTGTAGAGGGGCTTCAGCTGGAACCCGTACAAGGTGTACTGGCCCACAATGAAGCCCACTTCCAAGAGAGCCTTGAAGACGATGTTGCAGATGTAGGTCCTCAGGATGGCCCCCCGCATGCACACCCGTGCCCTCGTGTTCCCTGCAGGGAGTTGGGGCTGTCTGGGGCGCTGTCGTCTGGCCCCGCTGCCAGCCCGTGCTGCCGCTTGCTGCTGTGCCTTTTCCTCCAGATGCACCAGGTGCAGGATGTGGCCCAGATACACAAGACTGGGGGTGGAGACAAAGATGATCTGCAGGACCCAGAAGCGGAGGTGGGAGATGGGGAAGGTGCTGTCATAGCAGGCATTTTGGCAGCCAGGCTGCTGTGTGTCACAGGAGAAGCCAGACAGCTCGTCACCCCAGACCCGCTCTGCGGCTGCCCCCAGCACCAGGATACGGAAGACGAAAAGGACGGTGAGCCAGACCTTCCCCACCACTGTGGAGTGCTCCTGGGCATTCTCCAGCAGCCGGCCCAACAGGCTCCAGTCCCCCATGGCACGTGCTCTGGTGCCCTGCAAAACAGCCACCCTCCAGACACAGCCACCACACAACCCACCAAAACACCACCCCACTCCCTGGTCAAGCAGGTGTTCACAGACCCAACCCAAGGCTGTCCCTGGAGTATCCCCATCCTGCGTCCTAGGGGACCCTCTAACCTGTCACAAGGAGGGCAGGGGGAGCAAAGGCTTCCAGCAGAGAGCTGGGAGCAGCATGGGCAACAACCGCGGTGGCAATCTGGCATGGGGACCTCTCACCGTAGATGGTGTGTGGGGCAGAGCTCAGTGCTCCCACGCTGTCTGCTCGTCAGTGGGGTGATGGGGGATGCTGCGAGGCCCCTTGCCAGCTGGTCCCCAGCTCCTCCGTGGGGTGCAGACAGGACTGCCTGCTCCGTCTGTCCAGTCACCCAACAGCAGGCGTAGGGTTATTGGGGCATGAGAGAGCTGCGTGCCCCATTGGCTTTCATTGTGAGTGGCACATGAAACAGCCACTGTGGAAACTTTTTCCCTCTATTTTTGGTCTGGGCACTTTTCTAATTATATTCGGGGCTGCAGGGGCTGGTGCTGGGGGAGCGCAAGCCCTTGGACACTGATCAATGCCACCCAGGGGTCACTGTCCGCTGCAGGCTGCCAGGGCAACACAGACACAGCCCCAGCTCAGCCCTGGCACTGCAGCCCCCATAGCCCCTCCTGGCACCCACCAGCGCTTGGGTGCAGGGATGGACACCCCACACTGGCACCCCAGCTCCTGGCATATCCCATCCAGAGCAGAAAGGAGGGAGGCAGCACCTGAGAATGGAGATTTAATGGCCCACGATGCCCTCCTGGCCATTTAGGAGAGCCAGATTCGCACCTGAGGGATGCTACCCTTGGGACAGGGAGAGTAACAGGCCCATGGGACGCTGTGGGGCCAGAGCCCCTGCAGCGGTGGCCCTAGCAGGCAGAGCAGCGGTCACCCTTCTCCTGCAGCCCAGAGTTGCGGCGCAGCATGTCCTTGAGAGAACCGTCCTGCTCTGTCAGCAGCTGGTTGATCTCGTTCTGCTTGTACTCAGAGGAATGCTTGTGCCCATAGAAGGAGCCCTTCCCTGACACGGGGTTGGAGTGGTGCTGGCCTCGGCGGGCACAGGCCCGCACCACCAGGTAGACCAGCTCTGCCATGTTGAGGATGATGCAGACACTGGAGGTGACCAGCATGAAGACAGTGAAGATGGTCTTCTCGGTAGGCCGGGAGATGAAGCAGTCGACAGTGTTGGGGCAGGGGTAAGCCTCGCACTTGACCAGCCGCATCATCTGGTAGCCTGGGTAGAGCAGGTAGAAGATGTACATGAACACGGCCTCGAAGAGCAGCCTGAAGACCACGCTGCAGACATATGTCCACCACAGCGAGCCTGCTATGCGCATCTTGTGCTTCTTGACTTCTTCCATGTGCTTGGCATCCCCATGCCCTGTTAGCATCAGCAGCTTCTTCTCCTGGTGCTGCTGGTACGCCACGTGCATGGCCACAAGAAGGGCTGGTGTGGTGACGAGGATGAGCTGCAGGGCCCAGAGACGGATGTGGGAGATGGGGAAGAAGTGGTCATAGCAGACGCTGTTGCAGCCAGGCTGCTGGGTGTTGCAGGTGAAGGCGGATTTCTCATCCCCCCAGACGCTCTCGGCTGCCACCACTAACACCATAATCCGGAAGATGAAGATGACGGAGAGCCAGATGCGCCCGATGGCAGTGGAGTGGCGGTTCACCCCGCTCAGCACCGTGTAGAGGCCGGCCCAATTCATTGTTTCTCACGTCTGCAGGAGAGAGCAGTGAGAGATGGTGTTAGGAGCAGGAAGGGCCCCTGGCTGAGAGCTAGCAGGTCCTGGCTCCAGTGGCAGCAGCCCCAGAAGGGACCTGGGAGCAACTGGCTGGCAGCCCTGGCTGCCTGGGTGGACAGCAGGATCGACAGACAGGAGAATGGCAGCATGGCTCCAGCTCCTGACACGGCTCAAGGCAGCATTTTAGCCAGAGCAGGCAGGAGACTGGCTGCCCCAGCAGTTCCAGATGCTCCAGTCCTGCCAACCCACACTGGCACAGGGATCCTAACTCACAGCTGCCACAGAGAACAGGGGTGAAGCTCCTACACCTCCGTGGGGACCCCCAGTACCAAATGCTGAGCTCTTTGGCTAGGAACGGTCCCAAGGAGCTTTATGGGCTCCACTGCACCAACACCTCCCTTTGTCCTCCCATTATCTGCAGGAGCAGAGCCAGGGAGCCCTGAGCCGGGGGGCTCCCCCCGTGCAGCCCTGCACTGCCACCGTCCCAGAGCCATCCTGGCCCAGGGAACACAGGGCGAGCCCACCCCCAAGCACAGACCCCTGCCCCACCAGAGGCACCCACTGGCACAGCGCAGCCCCGGGAGCTGCTTCCCACCCCTGCATGAGTCTGGGTGGCTGAGACCAGCCACCCCCCAGTGTGGAGGATCCTTGCTACGCGTACCTGCCAGTGAGGAAGGGTCCTCGCAAGCTGCCCCCAGTGGCCCCTCTAAGGTCTCATGCCTCCCGCAGGAGACCTCTGCTCCGCCTGCCCTCGTCTCCCTCTGCCACTGCCCTGCACTGGAAGTCATATGCTGCTTTATAAACTATTTACATACAATGGGGCCTTTATCGGTCCCTGAACAACACACTTTAGCATTCAGATCTAACGCCCTGACTTCCGCCCACCCTGGCCAAACAAAGTGCCTGTGTGCTGCATTCCCGCTGCTCGGCCCTGCACCCACCCTCACCTCCGCACCACGCCCCGCACCGACCACGGCCACAGCTCCCCCAACCCGCCGGGACCCACGCCACACATCGCTGTGCCGGACAGGCCACCCAGCGCGTCTGGAGGTCCTTTCCCCAGGAAGCATGGCCAAGCCCAGCTGCGTGCCCATCCCGCACGGACGGCACAGGGCGCTGGAGCAAGGGTCTGGCACTCAGCAGTCGGCGGGCCGCCGGGGGCTGGGTGGCACTGGGTACAGCTCCTGCCATCTCCTCAAGGCTCTGACGCCAGCAAAGCAATGTCTGAGGGCATCGGAGCTGCCCCGCGTGTGTCGTTGGAGCCACGGGAGAAAGTCCGGAGGAGTGACGCTAGCTGTGTACTGGGGCACAGGTCCTCCCCCCAGATGGACTCGCTGACGCTGCCCTACTGCTGGAACATGCTCAATCCCTGTGCTCGCGCAGCCCCCGCGCCCCTCAGGGCTGGTGTCTCAGCCACACCGTCACACTGTGCCCCATCCCTGCAGGGATGCGCCATGTGCCTCGGAATTGTCCCCAGCCCCAGGCGGGAAGCAGCACATCCAGTAAACCCTACCAGCTGGATGCCTGTAGGTTGGCTGGGCAATTAATGCCATCCCAAATGCCACCTCCTCCCCTTAGCCCAAGGCGCGACCGCCCAGAGCTGTGCAAACGATGGCGGCCAAAAACCGTCCAGCAAAGCTGTGAGGTCGCCGCTTGTGCTCCCACTGCTCCCTCCCCGCTCCCACCATGAAGGCCAGCATTGCCGGCTCCCCTCTCCTAGGCCCACGGCCGAGCCCTGCTGGGGCCCCCACTCCAGCCCCCCTGGTGCTCCCCAGCTGGGGGACATACCGCTACCGCCACCCCCACAACGGTGCTGTGCCTCCCAGGTTCCTCACCTCAACACCAGGACAATCTGTGCTCTTTGGGATTGCAGCAGACAGCCTCCAACGTAACACCCCGGACTTTATACTGCCCTGCAGGCACGTCCCCCACCCCCTCCCAAACAGCCTCTCTCCTTGCACGACTCGCCAAGCAAACACCGCAGGTGTGTCCAGCCTGGCTCCCACCCACCGCATTCACCCTCCAGCTGAGCATCACCCGGGGCCAGCCTCGAGGCTACTGAAGTACCGGGGCAGGGCCAGCCCCGCAGAATGGTCCCCGGGGAGATTTCTGGTCCCCGTGGCCCCACTCCCCTGCTGTGAGCATCCTCCCCGCTGCATTCCTTGCAAGCCAGGCACATGCACCGTGGTGGATCCCTGCTCTCCATCCGGAAGATGACCCCAGCTCATGGGCACCTTGATCTGCTGCAGGCTGCTGGCTGGTCCCTGGGAAGCCACCAAACATCCAGATTTAATGTGTAAAAGTGCAGCCGGGAAAAGGCAAACAGCCTGTCAACGATTAACTCGGCTGGCCCGCTTCAAGGTTCCGCCGCCCAGCACACTATGCGGGACGTGGCGACTCTGCCGCTCATCCCGGGCCCCTGGGCTAGGCTGCAGGGGCCCGAGAGCATGAGGGTGACAATGGTGCCGGTGTCTCCCGCACGGGGACGGAAAGGTGGCACTAGGGAGCGGCCGGGGGCCGCTAGGGGTGCCCCCGCAGCGGGCGGGGGGCAGTGGGCAGTGAGATACCGGCGGTGGCCGGTGGTGCGGGGCGGGTTGGGGCCATCGGGGCCACAATCTCACTCTCTTGATAAGCTGCTGCCGCCGCCGCCGCCACCTGAGTCAGCGGCGCTCGGCGAGGAGCGGGAGAGCCGGCACCGCCCAGGTCCCGCACGTTGGACAGGTTCTAGGGGTTAGCGGAAGGCACACTGTGGGACACCATGGGCTAGTGCGGCCAGGCTGGCGGGGTGAGGCTGGGTGGGGGTCACTGTGGGGGGGGGATCAAGAGGAGGGCAGACTGGTAAGCACTGGGGTGGGCTGAACTAAGTGGGACGAAGCACAATGGGAGGTTGGCGCGGGGAGAGGGATCCCTGGGAGCCAGTCCAGGGGTCTTACTGGAGGGCCCTGGGAGCCAGGCGGGAGGTCACTGGGGCTTACTGGGAGCCAGAACAGGGGTGACTGGGGGGCACTAGGAGCCAGGCGAGGGTCGCCGAGGGGCTCTGGCCGTGCGGCGGGGGGGATGGTCGCCATCCGTGGCACCAGGTGGCGCTGCGGGGCCGGGCCGGGGCCGCACCTGCCCGCGGCAGCGCCCGGCGGGGCTCGGCGTGGGAATAATCTCAAATATAGTTAAAATGGAGGAAAAAAACCCAAAAAACCAAAAGAAACCCCAAAAAACCAGGAAAGAGGAGGACGCATCCGGGGCGTTGCTGTCCAGCACGGTGCCCGCCCGCTGTCCTGGCTGGGAGGAGCAGAGGCCCCAGGGGTGGGCGGGAGCGCGGGCAACCCCCTCGCCTGTTGGCAGTAGGTTAAACTGCAAAAGCCATCGGCGAAGGACGGGCTGTACCAAATAGATGAGGCCGGTGCTTCCTCCAGTACTCAGAAAACTGCCCCGCCCGCCACCACGTGGGCCAGTAACGGGCTCTTTGTTAATGACGCTAATTGTTAAGTTACTTGATGTCTGAAGTTGCAGCGAAGAGGTCAAAGACGTGGGCACGCCTACCGCAGACAAGCTGATGAGATGGGCAGGATTGAGCCAGCATGCGGATGGTGGGACGGGTGACGCAGTTGCTGGCACCCTGCTAGGGTCAGAGAACTTGCAGCCCAGCAGTCTCTGTCGGTACGATGGATGAAATCAAGCTTGAACCATCACTGAAACATCTCCACCGTCAGGAAGACTGCGGAGGAGGGTTCCAGAGTCCCCTTTCCCCGGCCATTCTGCTCCAGGCAGGGTTGGCCTTGTGAATGGCTCAACCTTGTCACTGGATGGCCACTGCAGTACAGGGGCTGCTGGGCTTCCAGCCTGGGACTGGCAGCAGCACAGGCATTCCTGGATCCAGGCTGCTGTTCTCAGAGAGACAAAACCCTCTGCTCTGAGTCAACTGCCAGGAAGGTCACTGGCAGTGGGTGAGCACAGAAATCCTTTGTGCTGCTGCAGCACAGGCCAGAAGGGGTTGTAGCGTAAGACTTAACAGCTTGTCCTGCCTGCCTGCCTGCCTGCCTGTGAGTCTGCTCTCCTGTGTCCTGGGTGCATCAGAGGTGTGGGTAGCAGGACCAGGGCACTATCCCAGTGATGCTTCTGTGAAGAGCAGCATCCCTGCCCTCCTGCTGGCTGTGGATCCTCGAGCAAGCAGTGGCCAACTACAGGTCACTCACTGCCTCCCATACCAGGGACACCTTTGTAGTCGAGTTCCCTTATGATTCTCCTTGCCAACAGCCCTAAACATGTCCCCTGAAGCAGGGGATGTCCCATAATTGTCACGCAGATGTTAACTGTTCATACCCTCTGGGATACAGTGTCCCTTGAGCTTTGCCATATCTCCAAAGAAAAGCTGTTGATGGTCAAGGACACCCTGGACAGATGGCAGCCTCAGGAGTTTTGCAAAGGCAGTAGCATAATAGCAGTGGTTGTCTGTCACCAGCTTGCCTTGGGTTCCTAGCTGGGTTGGCCATGCTGGCACATGTGGCAGCATGCAGCTGGGGCTGTGCAAGGATGAGGAGAGGGGACGGAAGGGCAGGGCAAGCCCCTAATCTGGGGCAGAAAGGCATCCCCCTGTGAGAGGGCACTAAGCACCCTGTGGGATGCCACAATGGGCAGCACTAGGGCTTCTAGAGGGGTCCAGTACAGGGTCTGGAGCACGGTGCTGAACAGGGTGACATACGCCCATGGCACTGGAGCTACAAAGGTCCCCCGGGGGGAGAAGGGCAGAGCTCCACCCTCAGCTTCCTGCACAACCTGTGCCCCTGCCTGCCCCAGCTCCCCTGGCTCGGGGCCTCGGCCCTGGCTCCAGTGTTTGCACGCTGCCTGGAGGCAATTTAGCCCCCCCATTCCGTTCCTGGTTTCCATGGCAACTCCAGTTGAAATTACATTAAAAAGAAATGAAACCAGCAGCTTTTCTGTTTGGCAAGTAGGGGGAGGGGAGCTCAGCTGGGAAAGGCTGGGGAAGGGATTTGAAGAAGTTTGGAGGGAGGGGACTGTGGGACAGATGCATTCCCACAAGGGGTCCCAGTGCTGGGGGCAGCAGGGCTGGGGGTATGTGAGGACACCTCCCCACTGTGGCACTTGGTGTTGGCAGCCCTGGATGGTATGGTGCCAGCTTGCTGCACTGGGGATCCAGCACTCTGACATGGTCGGATGATACCAGGGTCCTCCTGCTGACTCTGTGGGGTGGGTGCCAGGGACATGAGGACCAGCACAGGGCACCCCACCCAGCCCTGCAGTCCCTGGGCCCTGCATGGAAGAGGCGAGACACACTGCTATTAAAAATATCACTTTTGTTTTATTTGGAATTTGTTACTCTGCGCGGGTGACGGGGTATAAATACATTCTCCAACGAGCATCCTCACCCTCAGCCCTGCGCGGGGTGGGGCCGGGGCAGGGTGCAGGGCCGTTGCTGCGCTGGCCCCGGGCAGCAGGGCCAGCAGGGCCGTCGATGCGCTGGCCCAGGCAGTAGGGCCAACCGGCACCGGTGCGTCACGGCCGCCAGCACGGGCAGCGTCTGCCGGCCGGACCGTCTTGCACAGGGACAAGATACAGTGTCCCCACAAGGACCTGTCCCTTTCTCCTGCTTCCCCAGGCCCCAGGTGCTAGTGCTCACCTTGGGGGGCTGAGACTGTGGTGCCCCACCTGGGATCCCCTGCAGCTCCTTCTCCATGCCCAACCACACCAAAGCCACTTGCCTAGAGCCACGTGTGGCTCTGTGTCCAGAACAGCCCAACAGATGCCCCAGCACAGGTGTTCCCATCCCCACACAGGCTGCATCACCCCCAGAGTTCCTACCCAGGCGTCTGTTCCAGCTGCACGTCCTGGATGCTGGAGCTGGGGTCACCCCACGATGGGGTAAAGGCCCCAGTGGAAGCGACCTAGGAGGCAGTTTTGATGTTGGTGAGCGGCTCACCCTATTGCTGTTACTCCACTCCTGCCAAAGGCTGCAAACCAGGGCAACAGCATGGGCAGGGAGGGCACAGCACAGCCCTGGGGCAGTGGTGAAGGGATGTGGGATGCTCCTGGGGGAGCAGGGCAGGGTGGGGAGCATGAGGGGCTGTCCTGGGTTCATGGGAGTGAACAGACAGTGCTTGGAGCAGGTGATGCCCACACGGGGCGGTGGGTGGCACTGGCCAGTGGTGGCAGTGAGGGACTGGGACGGGGGTGCTCGCAGGCAGGCCGTTGGATAGGCTTTTTGGCTGAGATACGTGGGCACAGGTGACAGAGGAGGGAGAATATCAAAAAATACAAAAGAGTGCAGCCCCACAGTGCGAGAGGCACTGCCCTGCCTGGTGCCCACCCACGGCAGGTGGGCGCCATGGGGGGCCAGCACCGTGCGCACACGCTGGCTTCTAACTGGCTTTTTATTTTATATCAAGAACACTTGGTTTTAAAATCTTTACAAAGGACAAAACGCGGCGACTCCGTTAGTGTGTAAAGAACTAAAGATCTGCTTAAAAAACGTCTCTGCAAAGAGAAATGACTGACACAAAAGTGATTCTCTGCAGCGCAAAGAGGGGCTGAGGTGCCACGGCTCCAGCCCAGGGTCCCACTCCAGGGTCCCTGAGCCCCGGCACCAGCCCCAGTGCCTGCATCCAGCACAAGGCCAGGTCCCTGGACCCTGCCCATTCCCTCTGCCTAGAGCACCATGGCCTGGGGCCACTTCTCAGCACAGTGAAGGAGCCTTTTCCAGGGCTGCCAAGATGCCTGGGGATGTCTGGGCACTGGCCAAGAGGGATGCCCAGTCCCGTTCCTTGTCAGTCCCAGGGTGCTTGGTGGGCTGAGCACTGGGCATGTGATCACCCAACTAGGAGGCACCGCGATGGCACTGGGAGCCCCGTGGCCATTGACAGTGGGGTACCCCTGCCCACCTGCATGGGTGGGCTGTGCAGGGTTACACCGTGTCCCTCCTGCACCCCACTGGCGTCCCGGGGCAACCCACGGGGCCCTGAGGCCAGGAGAGTCAAAGCACTTCTCAAAAGTTAGATAGGAACAAAAGAAAGCACTGGGGCCACTCTGGGACCCCACAAGTCTCTGAGCTGGGAGCTGCACCGTCCGTGGGCACTGCCCCTCCATCTGGGGGCTCCGTGGGCCCCGCCAGTCCCTCTGCCAGTGTCTGCTGCGTGTGTGTGCGTGCGTGCATGCGTGTGCGCCGGCGGCGGGCAGCTATACCCTGGTGGTGGAGTGTGAGTGCGGAAGCCCCGTGCTGTTGAAGCCGGCGGTGAAGGTGTTGTAGGGGTGCAGGGTCTGCAGCCCCACCAGCGAGTTGGGGATCATGGTGATGGTGTTGGGGGTCATAAGTGGGATGTCATCTGGAGAGCGACGCAAGGTGAGGGTGTAGTCGGGCAGAGCAGCCAGGCGCAGGGTGTCATGGGATGGCACAGCTTCACACTCGTGGTGCCCCTGGCTCACCTGCAAGGAGGGCATCTCCTCATCAGGTGCATGGGCAATGTCGTTGGAGGCACCACGCTGGGGGCTGGGCTGCCGGTGCGTGTCCTGCCGGCGCTTGTCCTTGCGGTAGTAGAGGGCGGCGAAGGCCAGCACATTGAGGAAGAGGAGGGAGGCACCCACAGCGATGGTGACGCTCAGTTCAGTGGAGTAGTCACGGGGGCTCTCGAGCAGCGTGCCCGCCTCTTGCTCTGGGCTCCACTTCTCCTTCCCGTTCTCGCTGTTGTAGGCGGGCGAGATGGCGGGGCGCTTGGTGGTCCAGATCTTGCTGTTGGGCCGGCGGGTGATGTGGGAGTTCTGTGTGGTGTCAGGTGGTGGCACTTTGGTGGTGGTGGAGGTGTAGTGGAACATATCGTGCAGGTTGTACAGGTGGGGAACCAGGTGCTTCCAGAAAGCCACCTTGGTGGCCCGGTAGTGGTCGCGTACCCGTGGCTTCAGCCCAATGTGCAGGTACAGCTGGTCACGGGGGTTGTACTTGGACCAGGCCACCTCCTCAAACCGGTTGGCCTTGGTGTGGATGAACTTGGTGTCCTGGGGGACAGGCTTGTTGGGGTCCCTGTGAAACACAGGCAGAACAGAACTAGGAAAAGCCAAAGAAGCAAAAAGGGAGAGCTGGATGCAGACACAGAAACTGAAGGGACATTTGCCAGTGCTGGCACAGGGTGGGCTGGCAAAAGATCTTGAATGACTGAGCAGCACCCAACCCTGGGTGAAGCCTCACCTACGATAACCAGGGCCAACAAGCCTCCCCACCCCTGTGGCTTGGCTGGGTCCTGTCCCAGGGACTGGCCATGATCTAAGCTTCTTGCTTTGTGGTTGATGCCATGGCCCCAGTGAAGGTGCAGCACATGGAGACCTCTGGATACAGGGAGCTCAGTGTCCCATACCAGGCATGATAACTGCCCCCCAACCACAGCACAGCTCCAGAGAGTGGAGCTGCAGTGAGTGCAGACCCCCAAGGCACGGCACCCATCCCCACTCACCCTGTCTTGGCAAAATTGGTCCAGTAGGTCATCACCACAGCGCTGAGCATCACATCGTTCTTGGAGAAGTTGCAGGGAAAGAGGTCTGTGGGGCCAATCATAGGGATCCCAAACACATAAGGCACCTCATCCCCGTGGGCTGCATCAGACCATGCAGGCTTCATCAGGCTCTGGCAGTGGTGGTAGAAGGCATAGAAGTAGGTGGGGGAGCCATAGCGTGCGTGCAGGTCAGCTGTCACCACCGATGGCTCTACCCACTGGTGGTCAGTGAAGAGGGCCACCAGAGTCTTGCGACGTGTCTCGGGGTTGTCCCGGTCGGCCCAGTCCGTGTACATGAACTTGATGGTCTCCCTCAAGGTGTCCTTGCCCTCAGGGTAGCCGTACAGGTTGTCTACAAAGTTGGAAACTGAGTAGTCAAAGTCACTGCCTGAGACACCGTCCTCAGGGTCCACCACACCCTCCACAAACTTCAGCCCTTCACCCTGGTTGACCCCCAGCATGATATCATAGTTGAGGAACTCGCCCTGCTCCATCAGGATCTCTGGGTCATCCGGGATCACATCCCCGTCAATGACTGGCCCGAAGGCCACATGGTAGCGAGCTGGCTGGATGTCTTGCTCTACCAGCTCCTTGGCACTCTTCTGCCGCAGGCAGTCCACCATGTCCACGGTGTCCAGCACATTGCAGCCCACCTTGTCAGCCAGCATGCTGGTGTACTTCACAGGCTGGTAGTTCACAGCCCAGCTGGAGAGTGCGGAGCCACTCTGGATGATGGCTCTCTGGAAGAGACCTGCAATACAGGCAAGGAGTGGAGGAAGCTCTCAGCAGGGTTCCAGCATCCCGGTGCTGCAGTGCAGGATGCAGCATGGAGGAGGGATTGATGTTCTTGTACCCCTGTAAGGACCCAGCACTCCAGTCTACACCTGGCCTTGTCCCTGAGCTGTGCTGCCTGCTGAGCTGGGCTCACACAGGGGGCTCAGCTCAGGGCAGCTGTGGGGATGGCAGGATGACAGCTGGGAATGCAAGTGGGTGCCCCTGGAAGCAACCAAGGGCTGCTGTGCTCCCCGAGGATCCTATTGCAGGGGATGACCCAGCATCCCTGTTCTGATGTGCAGAGAAGAGGGGCCATGGTTGCATCACATCCTGGCCTTGCTGAGCAGCCCGTGCTACACTGGCCACTCCAAGGATGTGGACCTGAGCCCCCGAGGGGCACATGCTGCCCTGACTCAGCACCATCCTCCAGCCCAGGTTCATTGAGGAGCTAGGCTGTGGGCTGGCAGCAGTGGGAGGGTTAATGCCTGCTTGGGGACACTTAACCCTGCCGTGTCCCACCCCACCGCTTTGTCAGAGTCCCCCTCGACCCCCTCCCTGCTGCTTCCTGCCCAGCTGGGGCTGCTCAGTGCCAATCCGGCCCCGCAGAAGCACGCTGCCAGATGCACAAAGAGGGCCTTTCTGCCACCAAGAACACAGAGGGAGTGGACTTTCGCCCTGGAAAACGAGGCCACAAAGGCCCTGGCCCAGGCAGAGAAATGCATGGCTTTGCTCCAGTCCTATGTCAATGGTGCTTGTGCTCAGAATACAAAGGGTGGTGAGGAAGCAGAACCTCTGGGCTGTGAAAGGCAGCCAGTCCAGAGTGCACCCAGGGGTCCCTGCTCTCTGACCAGCCCTCTTTGCACCCCAAGTGCTGCCTGCACCCCTGCCAGACCCCAGCAATTGCTCGCCATGAGGGACTGTTCCCTCGTGGTGATTCAGGTGATCTCTGAATGGTGCTGGCACAGCAGCGTGGTGGCCATGGGCCTGCCCCGGCACCCTGAAACGCAGAGAACCCCTGTGCAACCAAGGCTGTGCCACTCTGCAGGGAAGCAGAGCAGCACCTTCCCGCAACAGAAGTGTTCAGAGGCTCCTGGCTCCCAGCCACCATGTCCAGAGCTCTTGTCTGCACGCACAGTCCTCACTCTGCCAAGTACCTGACATACAGTCCCATGCACTGGGACAAACAGAAGTCACAAGCTCTGTTTGTCACCTCGTGGTGCCCTAGAAAGCCATACCCAGCCCACAGACTGGAGACTGGCCATGAGCTTGCTTGCTCTGCGCCATCATCCACGTGCCAAGGAGCAGGATGGGGTTTCCTGGCTCCCTGGAGATGCTGTCCCAGCAGCAGCTATTGCACTGTGCTAGCAGCATCACTTCCCAGACAGACCCACCAGGCTGGGCTCTGGCCCTGCCCACCACTGCCTGGGGAAGTACAGGGCAGATGATGTCACTAATAGCTGGTCATGTCCCTGATGGAGCCCCTTTGCCTTGTCTCTGCATGGCCACATCCTGATCCAGGAGGATCCAGGACCCTGTGAGAGCCCAGACTCATCATGTCCTCCTGCTCCATGCCAGTACCTGACTGAAGCCTGACAAACACCCCAGGGAGGCATCAGCACCCTGCAGTCCACACTGGACCTCTCCAGCCTGCTGAGGTCCAGGCAAGAAAATGAAGTTCTGCCTTTCCTTCCTGTTCCCCTCCACGGTGAGGCTCCCAACACACACCCTGCCTCCTGCAGGACTGGCTGCCATGGCACAGTGGAATCAAATGGTGGGGCCAGGGCTCTGCCATAGGGTGGTTGGAGCTGCAGACTGCCACCAGCTGCTGCCAGCTCCTATTTCCTCTTTGCTTTGCCCAATAACTGAGAATGGAAACACTTCTGGGGGTGTCTGGGACAAGCCCTGCTCAAAGCAGGGTGCTGGGTGCCTTGTCCAACTGAGATCTGAAGCTGGCAGCAAAGGGCAGAAGTCCCCTCGGAGAAGGAGATGGGGCAAAGGAAGCACAAAAAGTTTGTCTGGCAGAGACTGTTCCTGCCCTGGTATGGCTAGCTGGGGAGAAAAACAGCACTTTGGTCACGGATGAGGAATCAGAGTGACCCTACAAGGCCTGAAGCTGGCAGGGAGCTGTGGATTTTCCCAGAAGCCAGACCTAGCATGTGCTGTCCCAATCCTCCAGTGTCTGCCTCTTGCAGCACCTGCAGAGCAGGCACAAATCAGCAGCTTATTAACAGCATTAATAGCATGTGATCACATGTGATGGGAAGTTTTATTTTGATGCAGTAAAAACAAACCCACCTGCCAGGCTGCAACTTAGCACTGCTCCCACGCCATGTTCCAGAGCCAGCTACCCGTCCCTGGGGATATGGGTGCTTTGGCACAGGGAATTTTTTGAGGTCATTTTAGGGCCATTTGGCTTTATGAGACACTGGCTGCAGAACTGAGCACTTCCCTCCTGCCTGACTGCATTTACAGCCAGCAGCAGCTCTCCTGCCCCAGCACCTGGACACTCAGCACCTCTGAGATACAGGGGGGCCACACCAGAGGCACTTGGGATGGATGAGGCAGCAAAGGATTCGTCATGCAGGTGCAGGGCTTAGTGGCATTAAGTGTAGCATCACCTGAGAAGTGCATATACAGGCAGGACTATTTTTAAAGGCTGAAAAGTCACAAGGAGCAGCCCCTCCAATCCACCCTCAACCTCTCTCCATGCTGCTCCGTTCTGCAAGAGGCTGGGGCCACCTGGGCAGCCAAGCACACTCTCCTGCATACCTATGATGGAAAGGAGCACGCTTAGAAGCATTGAGAATGCATTACACATAATGTTCCCTCCCCAGCCTTTTACATTCAATCTGGGCAGAGAAAACACTTTTTCTTTCTGCGGGAGCTTTCAGCCTGTAAAAGACTCCCCATCATCAGCCATCGGCCCTGCTGAGGTTCTGGAGATCTCCATTCCTGTGTGATTCCCAGGCTGTTGAGCAGGGCAGCAGCTCTTCACATCAGCTTCGAGTGTAATTTGCTGTCTCTGAAGGGCAGACTTATGCCTATGTCTGCTGCTCACACATGTTCTTTTCTCCTCAGTATCACACCTGGGGGCACAGCACTGGAAGATGGCTGCACCCTCACATAAAGCTCATGAGCAGGCCCCTGACAGGCTGCTCCCCTGTGGACCATATGCACTTCAGGCTTTGCTCCTATAATTTCCTTTAGAAAGTTTATCAAAAACACCTCTAGTCTCACAGTTAATTTTTTCCCCCCTCAGTGCTTGATGTAAATGTCTTTGCAGGTGATTTACATGCATTTGCTCTTATTCCAACACAGTCTTTTAGCATAAATAATTCCCTTCTTTATTTAGAGTAAACACTGTGCTATATTTACAGATATTAATCATATTACTTCCACCTGTGTTTTGCTAGGCACAACACTTCCAGCTCTCCCAGTCTCACAACACAGAGCCCCCCATGCCTCCCCAGGCTCAGGAGGGATGTCTGGGATGCTCTGTCTTCCCCTCTATTCCAGTATAAATACCTTTCCTAGCACTGAGATCCTTGTTCCCCGTGCCCTGAATGATGCCCTACACCCCCTCCATATCTGCACTTGGAAAACCTGAGCACCAGGGCAGGACACTGCAGGAGGGGTCCCCATGCCAAGGTGCTGGCCCTGGGCTGCAGCCCTGTGCAGGGGAGCACCCATTCCATTCCCGGCTCCCACATGCTCTGCCACCAGCTTATTTCTGCTCACGGTGAGAAGGTTTTGTTTCTCAGTCTGGCCCAGGCTCTCACCAGTGACTGATCAGAAAGCAGCCCTGGCTTTGTTAGGCTGGGCAGCAGGACCCGGGTGGGCTCCCCTCCCTGGGTTAGCATCAGCAGGGCGTTTGCTTGCAGTTGCAGCACCCTCAGGCGTGGCTGACACCTACCTTCAGAGTGGTGGGAGAGGGTGAGCAGGCTGACACAGGAGGCACCGATGCCGGAGCCGAAGACAGTGATCCGCAAGGGATCTCCCCCAAAGAAGGCGATGTTCTCACTGACCCAGCGCAGCGCCTGGATCTGGTCCAGCAGCCCGTAATTGCCCTTGGCAGCCTGGTCCCCCGTGCTCAGGAACCCTGGGGGCCAAGGGGAGCCCGGTTAGGGATGAGGAGACAGGGCAAGTCCTGATTTCCCACCCCCTTCCCCAGACCTACGGCAGCTTCTGTGGGACTCTATCCCACCATGAGACCACGCTACCAAGAGAGTTTTGTGAGTTCTAAGCTGGAGCAGGGTCACCATTGAGATCCAGCCACCCTCTGCACAGCACAGAGGGGTGAAAGTCTGAGAGAGCAGCTGCAAACCTCGGGGAGCCTCTTTGGCCAACAACAAGCAGTACTAGGGTAAAGAGCACAAAGGTACCCATCCCACCACCTGTGCTAGAACAGCTCAAGACATCTCACACGAGCTCCATGGAAAGCTCAGAAAGCATCAGTGGCTGCAGGCAGCGCGAGTGTGTGCACAGCCAATGCTTTCCACAGACTAGTGTGGACTGGGGGAGGCTCTATAAATGTAAGGAGGTGGGCAGAGAGGAACTGACTGCAGCTTAAAACACAAAGGCTCTCAGTGAGGAAAAAGGTGAGAAATGCTTTCAATAGCACAGGAAACACCCAAGATAAGTTATCAGTCTTTCGTTTGCTTTGACTTTAAGCAGGAAGCCAAAACCATGGGCCTGAGCTAAAATCCAGGCAAGTAACCCCAGCATAAAGGGAGCGGCCCCAGGGCTGTGCTGGCACTTGGAGGTGCTCTGGCTGGGTGTGGTGCACCACCTCAATGGAAATGATGAAGGCACCACTTAAGTCTAATGTCCTATTGTGACTCATGTGTCTTAACTTTGCTCCTATCCATCTTAAAGGACTAAAGCATTAAAAGGTTCTAAATAGGTTAACTATCATCTTCCACAAAAAACTATGGGCTCTAATGGGAGGCCATTAGAGGGATGTGCTGCCTCAGGTACCAGGGAGGAGCCCAGCTCCAACGGACAGCACCATGCTAGGCTGGATGGTGAGGCAGAGACCCAGCAGCTTGGCTGGAAAGGAGCTTTCGTAAAAGCTCTACACCCCTTGTTCTCATGATGCTAAGGGAAGCAGCAGTGATGTTCCACACAAACCTCCTGTGTCTCAGCCCCTGGGGGTTTCTGCTGCTTCAGGCAGGGGACTGCACTGCCTTTTGACCCTCTGTCCTCATTTTGCCTCTCTAAGTCACCAGTGCTTTTGGAAACAGGACTGCCACCCTCCTCTGCATGGCACCCGACACCCTTCTGTGGTCCTCACTGCAGACAGCCACGTCACTGTGGGTTGTTGAGGGGGTCCCAGCAGTGCAATTCGCTTGGAGGCAGCCTGTGCCCAGGGAGGGAGAGCTGCCAGGTCCCCAGGACAGCCAGGCAGCACCCGCTGGCACCTCCCCGCTCTGAGCCCTCTCACGAGGAGATGCTGGGTAAACACATTTATTATTCATTTAACCACAAACCAATATTTGCTTTCAGTTGAGCCAGTCTGTGTAAATGAGCTGGGGGGGGCTGGTGCCAGAACCCAGACTAGGCTGTGACCGTGTGCTGGGGGCTCTGCCACGCGGCACCCGCTGGGCTGCCAGGGCAGAAGGCAGGGGCAGCGCCCACAGCGCATCCCGCCAGGCCCCACGCCCCCCTCCCACCCCCTTTGGCTGGTCCAAGTCTGGTCAGACACAAGGGCTGTCCCACTGCCTGGCTCACACCACGCCAGCCAGCTCATACCGAGCACTCCAACGCGGTAGTTCAGGGTGATGACAATCACGTTCCCATAGCTGGCCAGGATGCTGCCGTCTATCATGTTCCCTGTGCCCTCCATGTAGGAGCCACCATGGATGTACACCATCACCGGCTTGGCCCCGCTGTCCCGGATGTCTGGAAGGAGAGGTGGTTAAACACAGGACAGCACTGACGGCCGCAGCACCCTGCCCGACAGGCAGACCAAGTACCAGGGCAATGCCAGCTGCCAGGACCAGTGAGGGGGCTTAGGAGCCAAAGCCAGAGCTCTCCTGGGGGCCACAGCACGGACCCCCAAAGCCAAACACTACTGAACCAACCCTGCCAGTCCCTCTCCCGGAGGTGGCTGTTGCTGCACTATCCCCACACTGCTGTCCCCCTCAGGGGTCTGAGCACGTGAGGGAGGGATGCTGGCTGGACCCCGCTGCTCTTCCCGAGAGCTGGGCTCTGGCATTGTGTGGGAGCCAGATCAGGTCTGCTGTGGGTGGGAGTTAGAGAGTCCAGCCCCAGGATGCAGCCCTATGTTCTGTCTTTGGCTGGACCCAAGCACTCCATGAGTCCTGGGAGCTGGCATTGCGGAGGGGGGCAGGGATGGGGGTGTGCAGGACCTAGAAGGGGAGGGGGGGGCACTGATGTGTGCTCCATTGTCTCACTCTCCCACTTCCCCTTCCCATTCCCCTGGGAAGGCAGAGACCTGCCTGTCTGGATGTAAACCCACGGCACCCCAGTGCCCAGACACAGACATGGTGATGAGGCAGACAGTGTATGCAGGTGTGCGTGTCAGGGAGGTGAGCACGGCATCTGGACGAGGACAGGGCATGAGGCATGGAGTGAAGATGGGGAATGGGACTCCGAGGCCCGGGGAGGAAAGACTGTGGGAGCCTAGAGGACAGGGAGCAGCCACGCTCCTTCTCTCGACTTCTCCTGTCCAGGGAACATCCTGTTCCTTCTGCCCCACTGGCTGGTGATCCCTCATGGAGCCATGGCCACCCACAAGGGAATAACACCTATGCTTGGGCTCCTGGTGCATCTTGCCCATGTCACACAGAGGAGGCAGTCACACCCACGGTGGAGACATTGCCAGGTCCCACAGGTCCCGCCTGTGCTGCCCAGCCCTGTCCTGGGCTGGCAATCTAGCACCGATGGACTTTGTCCTCCCTTGTGCTCACTCACACCCAGCACCTTGCTCAGGTGGGCTGGCAGTGCCTGCTTGGCCTCAGTTGCCCCAGGCAGCTGCTGCTCCCTGCCTGCCTCCGTCAGCAGTGCAGCACAGCGTCCCACCAGAACTGGGACTCTTGGGGCACAGCCACACCAACGCCAGCGCCCATCCGGGCTGTTCATGCTCTCTCACACCCACCTAACCCTGCCTGTGTCCACTCCTCCCTGTGGCTTGCCCATTGCAGGGGGATGCAGGCCAGGCTGATGGGGATCTGTGGCCATTCTCACCTCCAGCTGTGGCCCATGGCATGGCTAAAGGTGGCCTCCTTTACAGGGAACCTTTTCCCTCCAGGAGAATGAGGCTATGCCAAACCTGGCACCTGTGCTAGCTCTTTTCCTATTGCCAGAATGTGGCCAGACAAATGCACAGACCAGGGGAGCAAAAAGTGCTTGCAGCTCCTCCAGAACAGACATTGCCTGTGTAGCAGAGCTACATCAGGACAATTTTTTCCAGGACCACCTGCTTGAAATGTGAGGAGCAGGAACCTGTGCCCATGTCTTCTCCTCCATCCTGCACCCACTCCCTGACGTCCAAAGGGTCCTCCTCACGGCAGAATGGCAACAACGTACAGAGATGTACCAGGAAATAAACAGCTCCCAACTGCTGCAGCACATTTTGGTGTGTGTGGATTTAGCACAGTCCAGTCACTTAGGCTGAATGCCAGTTTACGCCCTGGTACAAGAGATCATGGGGCACAGGTTAGCTGGAATAAACAACAGGGTTTTAGTACTGCCAAGGAAAAAGCTTTTCATCTATTTCCCAGATCCTAAATGCCATCTGCCAGGCCTTGTTCGAGCTGCCCTGGGCCTTCTGCACACCATGAGGCTTTCCTGTCCTCAGCACATTAGGGCTGCACCCTGGCCAACCCTTCCTCCTACCATCCTCATCATCTCTGCAGCCACACACGCCGACTCCGTAACCTGCAGACAAACCACCCGAGTTTACTAAAAATAGCCTATTCTGCAGCTTGCTTTGTCCATCTAGAATCACATCTGCTTGAAAGGCCACTTGCTCTTGGCTGGTGCTTGCAAGCAAGACCTCACTTCCACTGGGTGAGGAAGGAGAGAAGTTAACAGAAACCAAGTGGAGCCTGGGTCTCCTGTGCATGGCCAGATGCCCTTTGGGTGCCAGGTGTTCACGGCAGGGCCAGGCAAGGGTGTGGATGGGGAGGTTGCAGGCTCCCAGATGCACGTCACTGACTCTGGAGGGATGAGGCTGGAGGTGGGATGTGACCAGGCTCAGGGTGAAATGGGCCAGGTGCCCAAGGGCATCTCTCCTCCCAAGCTGCCATGCTTCCTCCCTTGCCCTCACTCTAATCGAGCAGGAGCAAACTTCTCCTAAAGAGGAAAAACCCCATGAGCTTTCCCCACCATCAGGAGGAGGGGAAGGTCCTGGGTGCCCTGCACAGCCGGCCAGCCTGCCCCCCACCCCGCGCAGCTGCCTGGCACGGCAGACAGACACACACAGGGCTCCCTGGGGTGGCAGCGGATGGCAAACGGAGCTGCTTGGCGTGTCATGCAGTAGCAGCCTCGAGCACACAAATACCTTCGTCTTCATCACCGTCATTATCCGCTAAGTCCTCGCCCTGTTTCTTAGCGCTGGCTCCTAGGGACCAAACACGAGGAGACAGAACAAAAAGGAAAAAAACAAAAGGAAATAAAAA